TAGGTTAATGATGTAGGGGTTTAGAATCTAATAAATGAATAGTTAATCATAATTCCTGGTAAAAAGTCGTTAAACCAATTCTATTGATAAATAAAAAAACAATCCAGGGAAACAAATATATATATGTAAATATATATAGCATAGCTCTCAACTTGTAATGAGTTGGTTGAGCACTCTTGTTCCTATTTCATCACCTACTCATCAGGTTTGATATGGCGCAACGGTTAGCGTGTTGGACTCGTAACCCAAAGGGCTCACGGTTCAAACCCGCCAACTGCAAAATCAAAATCTAATGAATATGAGCCATACTGATGAGTCCTATTAGAGCAAAACACTGCGTCTACGGATAAACATGAATATATTTGTATTCAATATCATTTTGAAGAAAGAAATTAAATTTTCTTTTTCATTACATTTATTTTCACTACGTACTCGATGAATATGAAAAAATAATCCATATTACAAAAGGAAATTTAAATGTTACCCATTTTGATCATCGTTTCAATATAAATGTCTCTAGCCATATCTCTGTTCTATGCAATCCCTGTTTCTATTTTGTTTTTACATCACGCACCTCTGACCCTTTAGTAAAAGTAAATTCAACCTAAAGTTTGAGCGCGTCAACCTTGTTGCAACGACTAGTCCTGTTAAGTGTCCGGGTGATGCAGCAGGGGCGGATACAGGATTTAAGTGAGGGAGGTGCAAGATTTTTTAGGAACAAAAAATCGTGCCGCAGGAGAACATTTTTTTGACTTAAAAGACTCAAAAAGAGTCAAAATTAATCATTTAGGAACAATAAAAAGATTGTCCAGGAATAAGGAACAAAAATATAGGATTAGGACAGGGATTTAGGAAAAATAAAAAGATTGTTCAGGAATTAGGAACAAAATTAAAGGATTAGGACAGGGATTTAGGAACAATTAAAAGATTGTTCAGGAATTAGGAACAAAAATAAAGAATTAGGACAGGGATTTAGGAACAATAAAAAGATTGTTCGGGAATTAGGAACAAAAATAAAGAATTAGGACAGGAATTTAGGAACAATTAAAAGATTGTTCAGGAATTAGGAACAAAATTAAAGGATTCGGACAGGGATTTAGGAATAATTAAAAGATTGTTTAGGAATTAGGAACAAAAATAAAGGATTAGGACAGGGATTTAGGAACAATAAAAAGATTGTCCAGGAATTAGGAACAAAAATAAAGAATTAGGACAGGGATTTAGGAACAATAAAAAGATTTTTCAGGAATTAAGAACAAAAATATAGGATTAGGACAGGGAATTAAGGTGGGTCGGACACAGTATTAGGAACAGGAACAATAATAGGAACATTAGCAATTTAAGAACAAAAAGAAATTACTAGTTATACTTAAATGCATGAAAATTAGGAACAATATTACAATTTTGATAAATTAGTATTGATAAAGGAACATTACTAGATATGGACAATATTATAACTTAAGTCTAGTTTCTTACAAATTTCTAATTCTAAGTTTATCGTTAACAATAACATTTACTTGTTGTCGTTGATTTTTAAATTAAACTGAAGAAAAGAAAATCAAGATGTGCAGTGTGCCGTGCATTAACACCAATAAAATAAAACACAATGTCGTCGTATACTTACATCGTTGGTTATATTTATTTTTAACAAGCTAGAAAAATAATTTTTTCGTCCCTCTGATGATTCAATTTTTCAATAAATATTAATTATTAAATTTCCATTAAATAAAAAATAATCAAATAGCTTTAAATTGAAAAACACACGTGATTTATCAAATTGGGAACATTTTTTGCCTCGAAATCTCAGGGGGGGGGCTACGCCCCTCCCTGAATCTGACAGGGGGTGGGGAATGTCCCCCGCCCCCCCCCTGTTTCCGCCCCTGGGACCAGAAAGATTCACCCGGCGAATGTGCTACGACTGCCCGTGATATCTTTGTCTAAACCTGGTTTAATATCTGTTCCTATATCTGTTTTTTATATGATTCTAAATCTATTTCTATTTGTTTCTATACCTGTTTCTATACCTGTTTCTATACCTGTTTCTATATATGATTCAACGATAGGATGCCAAATCCAGGGTGTCTACATGGGCATCTGGGTTTATGCAGATGATATTATTCTGCTTTCTTCTATCAGAATAGTTCTTCGGGAAATGGTGAAAATTTGTGAACATTTTGCCAAAGCTAGTAAATTGAAATTTAGTACAAATAATTGAATCGAAAAATGTGAAACTAAATGTCTTATTTTTTCAAAAGAAAGGGTTAATTATAGTGCAAAGTGATAATTCAATGACCATAGATTGCAATAAAAAAACGAGCTATTTTCATTTCAAAAATTTCAAAAATATCAGATTAATAAATGCCAAATGATCAAAAAATGTACGCTAAACAGTTGGGACAACTATTTTTCTTCAAAAATATCCCATACAATTTTACAACAAAGTTAATTTTATAGTTTAAGGTATTCTTAAACATATTTTTATAATAAAACGTCTGTAAAATGCAAGCTCCTTCTTTCACGCATTCTATTTTTCTTCTTTCTTTTCTCTTCTATTTTCTACTCTTCTCCTCTATTTTCTTCTCTTCTCCTTTCTTCTCTTCTCTTTTCTTCTTTTTTCTTCTATTTTGTCTTCTCTTTTTTCTTATCTTTTCTTTTCTTCTCTTCTCTACTCAATTCTGTTCTCTTATCTCTTTTCTTCTCTTCCCTTATCTCTTATCATCTCCTCTTTGTTTTCTCTTTGTTGTCGACATTTAACCGGTTTTGAGATGTAGAACGCAGTACGATCCGTTGTTATGATTTTTCTCTGATTTGTTTACATTTCTAGCTTGTAGACCTAATTGAAACGTATACTGCGTTTGTATTTCATAAATAGGCATTTGGCATTTTATATTTGATATTTGATATTTGAAATTTATTTTCTGTTGCAAATGATTGTTCTGTAAATCCTTCGGATCTTAGTAAAATGTTAGTTAAGAAACAAATAAAATATATTGATGTCCTACTGGACCATGCCTGGAAAGTTCTGGTTTTACAAGAACTTTTAAATACAAGAACGAATAATTTATATGCTGAAGGATTCGATGATTACATAATAACTGAAATGGTAAATATGTTTTATAATGAGTAATAATCAATGTCGCCAATTTGTGCATAGTTTTGCATATTTTTCTTTTTTATTTTGAAAACTATATGTTCATGTAGTAAATTCAGGAGCAGTGTATAGTTCACCTATCTATATTATCTATGTTTGATTCATACTCTCACCGGCCCGACCGGTCAATCTATTTTACCTCCAAATCAATTTTTTGTTTTAGACGGACGTATATAGCCAGGGTAGGCTAGAAAGATAGCCAGGATTGTCTGAAGAATTAGAGTTAGAGACAAGTGTTGAGAGAATTGTCGGAACCTAGATTGTCACATTCAAATTATTTAAACAAATTTAAACTACACCATTTATATATGTATTTATATCTTTGTGTGTGAATAAATATATTACATTATATCTATCACAATAATTTCACTTATCACAAGACACAGAGCAATTGTACACTAATAGAAAAATCTAACATTTTTGCACAAAATTGTTTTGAGGAAAGCTTCTCATAACTTTAAACAATTTTCATAACAAAGATAGGGAACAAATTCTGATCCAAGATTGGCGGAAAATATTAGATTATTTAAACCATGTACAACAGTACAATAAACAATATACAATGTCACAATGTACATACATAATTATAAAGAAATTAATATTTTCATATTTAAAGATTTAAGAGCGTTAAAACATATTTTAATAGAAACAATAATGTTTCGAGATCAGAACTTATTTAAACATAAAATTAGTTTAATTCATAAAATGATTTGTTAAAATTTGTTCTATTAATTCATTTTAATGATCATTTAATGTCATTGAATTTTATTTCATGATTAAACATCTTTTAATATTCTTTCTCCTAAACCACTGGAAGGAATTATCAAAATAACATAAATTCTTCATCTGAGCAACATTTTGGTTAGGTTTCGTCAATTTTATTCTTTGTTTCTTGAAAGAGAGAAAAGGGTACCGTTGTGATTTAGGCATACAGCTTTTAAAATCAATTTGACATTTTCCTTAAAACAGATTATTTTATTATTAGAAATTAAGTAAACTGAGATGTATTTATTTCTATTTTGAGACAATTTTTATTGCGCATTTTCCCCGGATTTGATGCTACTTTATTTTTTACAAAGCATTCTTTTCAATTTTGTAGATTTTTATGAATTTTCATTACATCTATTTTAAATATATGGCCGTTAAGATTTGTAATTTTTTAAATATGCAAAAGGGTTGTAACGTTCTTATATTAATAATAATATAATATAGTAATATATGTATTGTCAATGTTTTCAAATCCCTCTTTGTTTTCGGCTGAAAGTAAACAAATCGAAAAGGTAATGAATATCAAAATTGAAATGATTAAAAAATGTTCTGTGACAATCTTGCATTTGAACTCGCAAGATTTTACAAAAACTATTGTAATTCATGAAAATTAAGTACTAAATGTCTATACATTGTAAATTAAAATATTTGTTTGGATATTAGTATAGAAATCTTTTCGTTTTTACCTCTAATTTACGCATGGATCTCTAATTGGATTATAAGATTTGAATAGACAGATAGATAATTAGATCTTGACAATTATGAAATTATATTTGTCTTGAGTACTCCCTAACACGTGAGTGAACCCTGATTGGAACAGAGGCTACCTCCCTTGATTTTACTAGTCTAGGTTAAAATACGGTACATTTAGTTTTTTAATAATAAAGAATTTTAATGGATTTAGATAAATTATTCTATAAAATGTAAGAAAGTTTTCACCCAAACCTCACCTATTATAAACATATTTTGATATATTTTACTAAAAAAACCGCCTCATGTCAAGTTATAAAAACATTTCCAAGTTTTTACAAATTTACTACAACTATACGATACTTATTTAGTTCACAATTTATCAAAGATATATAAACTAAAATTTATTTTAAAATATTTTTTTGTTTGGTTGAATAAAGTCTTTGACACAAACTAAAATTTGTTAATCCCAGAATTAATTTGAGGTTTCAAAGTTAGTTTATTTGTAACCAACAGAAATCACAGTTGCAAAGATTCAGGGATTAGAATATCAGAGTTTGTGACAAAGGCTTGTTTCCTTTATTGCGAAATTTCTTTACAATAAACATTAAATTAAGATTTATGTCAATATTTTGAAGTATAATAATTGAAGTAAGCAATGCTAAGTTTTAATAGCTAATCCGAAATTATACCTTTTCAAGAGGTCTTTATGATACAGTGTGTCCCAATAAACATAGGAAATAAGTGACGACTTTTATATCATCTTTGTTTCCCGTGGTATTATTAAGTACACACACATTCCTTGCATGATTCCAGTTAAGTCAGTTAATAATCAAAAGAACTAGTCTTAGGAATTCCAAAATGTGGTCTAGCATATTTGTTCCTTCAAAAATGAGGGAGATATTAAGAAATCTGTCCAGATTCTAATTTATCAAATCACAATGAAATCTTAAACATGTTTAATATCTCCGTCAATTTTGAAGATACAAAGAAGGCAGAACACATTTTCAATTATCAATTATTGGAAATCGAAGACGATGTTCAAGTCGTCTCTCAATTCCTATGTTTAGTGAGACACCCTGTATCTTATATTAACTGTTTGAAAATTGTATCTGTACTAAATCTAAACAAAATGTTTGTTGTGATATGTTGAGTAATTTTTAAGCTATTTTTTATCACAAAGGGTTTTTGTTTATTTCAAACCGGCTGACACTCCCGACAGTGGTTGAGCCAACGGTCTCTCTAAAATAAAACATGTGTTTGTTCATTAGCTTACATGCAGAATAAATTCATAAATGTCGTCTTAAAAAAACATCTTTTAAAATGTCTTCAACCCAGACACGCGCAGTTAAAGAGGCTTTCATTGTAATTTCAAGTGACCTTCCATTTAAAAAGGGGGCATGCCCGACTCACAATGGTACCATAAAAACCTGAATCTAATCAAAGAAACCACAATTAAAACCAACAAATTTTCAAAGAAAAACTCAGGTCAGGCAAAGCAGCTTTTAAGAGTACTGTTGTGAATGAGAAATGCAAGAGGGTCACTTAAGATTACGTCTACTGTAATGGTAATCGATTTTTCACTTCTTTTAAAAATCCGCCAACCGCTTAAGGTAAAAATACTGTTCTAATTTTTTTTATTATTTATAAAATGATTTAATAAGGTTTAAAGTATATTAATTGATCAGGTTTAGTTGGTTGGGAAAGTTTAGATCGAACACACAAACAAACAGACAAATAAAGATTATTATGAACCATCCGGCAATTCTACTGGAGTGGTTCATTGTGTGCGTTTGAGGGATGATAAAATCAATTTTTGGTGATGGTGATAATAGTGAAGATGTTAAGGATGGTGATGATGTTAATGATGGTGGTGATGATGATGGTGATGGTGATAATGATGATGATAGTGATCCACAAGGTGTGGTTTACGTCCCAATGTGTCTAATTGCATTAAATTCGATTGTAATTAATTCGTTTCGATTCGATTGGTTTTGTAAAAAATTTAATTTAATTATGTAGATGTGTATTAAGTCGACGTCTTGCAGTTTTTGTACAAGGACATCATCATTCACCTGACATTGGGAGCTGCAGTAATGTGAATTCTTACAGGCAGAGCACATAAAATGCGCTTCTTTGCCGCAGTTCTCACATTTGCTGTTCTCTTTCCCCAGGTTTATGGGCTCATGTTGGTACATTTCCTCCAGGGAATTCACACTTTTCCCCATTGTGTACAATTCACCCATTTTTTCCCCCGGGCGAACCCCCACCTCTCCCGCTGGTTCACATGTCCCCCCTGATCGTGCACTAGATGGCCTTTGATTTGAAGTTTCCCCTTTAAATGGACTTCCGGAGTTGCTTTTCTCTGATGATGTACTCGGTCGACTGGGACCCACTCCCTCTTTAACAGGATTTGAAAGTCTAAAAAAAGAAATATGCGTGGTTTCTGCGCTAAATTTACAAAAAAAAATTTTAAAAGGTTTTCTAAAATATGCACATTTCTTTGTAAAAGAGAGACTGAGTTCTATGAAAAAGTATAATTTAAACTGATTAAACTTCAATTTCTAATCTATTAGGAAAATTTGTTGCTAGTTTATTTATATCATATTTATATTTATGTTCAAATCTGATCAAATCAATTCATACATTTTTCTGTAGTAATATTAGAATAGTTATCTTTATTGATTTTGTTCTTTCTAAAAATTATTCGTTTTCTCAATAAAACCGTTTGTTCGATATAATCATTTTGTTCAGTAAAATCGTTCCTTCAATAAAATTGTTTCTTTTTTAGTAAAAGCAGGATCGTTTTTTAAAAGTTTGTTTTCAAAATCTTTCGAAAAATGCATTAATTTCTACTACAGTTAAACCCTAAATATTAAATAAATCGAAAGAATTCATCAAATGTTGTATTCTTCACTTGTTGATAATGGAATGTTGCAGATATTTAGTTTTTTAATTAAATGATTATGGAACTCTATAAAACTGTTCCAGCATATTCATGGCTATTTATTTATTTTCGCAAAAACTGAGATTTACGTAAAATAGTATAAAACTCATTGAAAAATAGTCAGGACGACATTTGATAAATTCTTTCGATGTATTGCTCATTCAGGGTTTTACTATGGTTTCCTAATATCATCAGTATATATACCTCAGAATGCTTGTAGGTTGAAGATGACTAGGAGAAAGCAATTTTGGTGGAGACACAGTTGGTAGACGACCCAATGATGGCACCCGGCGCTCAGCTGCCTCAATAAACATTCTGTCTGAAGAAACACGTGGATCTATTGCCGTGTTTTTTTCGCTACTCTGACTAGGTGAGAGGGCTGAGCGAACCTAAACAATTGCAAGTTTGGTTTTTGAAAAACAATAATAATGATAATACAGTGATATCCAGAAAACTTTGGGATAGAAAGACGACTTTATATCAATACCTAAGTGTATTTGAAGTTGATACAAAGCAAATAGTTTTAAAAGAACTTATTAAATCACTAATTAAGTGAAATAGGCCTGTTTAAATGCACCATAGCTGTGTCTCATGCTAGCTCAATGAACTATTTAAAGTTAAAACTTGATTCTAAAAGTCGTCTTCTTATTACAGAGTTTTATGGTTATCACTGTAGCAAATTTAATAACAATTAGCATTTTAAGAATGGTTGTTTACCATTTGGTGTTAATCAATGAATTAAAATTGCAAGTAAATTCATATATCTTCTGTAATGTAAAATAAAGAAGGTAATTCAACTTATCATGTTTATTTCACACTGTATATTGTGGCATAAGTTTAATGTTAACAAAACAATTTTGTATTTTTTCACCTCTAGATGATGAGCGTAAGGATGGTTTTGGAACTGTCCCGCCTTCTGCGCATTTAAATCATCTCTGAACAAAACATTGTAATTTACTTTTTCTAAAAATTAAAAAATTATTAAAACATATTACAAAGAGAACCTATCCAACCAAAAAGCGCATGGAACTGAAATTAATGAACCGTTATTTAATAGAATCTAAAATTGTTTTCCCTCTTCTCTATTCTAAAAAGAAGATTTTAAAAAGAATTCTCAATACGCTATTAAGCAATATTTTCACCTTGGAATTTTTACACAATTCCCAATAAAAGACTTTTCATACCTTTTATACACAAGATAAAACTCTTCGGTTATTCTATGTTCACTGTAGATGGCCAAAAGGCTTGGCCAAATTTGATACATTTTTTAGAAAATCCAAGGAATAACGAAGGCTTAATAAAATTATAATTTCTTGAAATTCCACAGGCAATAAAATCATAATTTAAAACCAAGCAAGGATAAACGGCAAGAGTAATTATGAGCAACCAGGGTAACATTTCAATTTGCTTAATCCCTTTAAATTCAATGTCCTGCTTATCTAATTCAAACAAAAAACATGCTGATTCTTTCACAACAACGGTACAAAACATTTCGGTTTCAAGGGTATCGTTGTGAATCAGGCATTGCCACCTTTGCATAGAAGGTAATTCAAAATTATGTTCACAGTCCATTTAAAGCATTAAACTCTACCAATTTAAAGTTTACAAATAGCATATTTAGTTAATCTAATGAAGCTAAGCATTATGCTAAAGAAAAGGGACTGAAATTGAAGAATTTGAGCTATGTCCAAAGAGAATAGAATATATATTAGAGAGGAATTTAGACAAATCCCCCGGTATAAAATTTGTCAGTCCCTTTCAGCCTGAAAGGGAGTTCAAAGTGTACAAATCATGTAATTTAGAATTTTTTAAAGATGTAAAATAACTTTATAAAATGAATTAGGTAAATAAAAAGCATCATTTGATTTATAGTTATAACGAAAAATCATCATTTGTAAAGTGAAAGGCATAGAATCTATGTGAAATGATCATTGGTCAATTATGAAACCAACCTATTTCATAATTTAGTTTTCTTTTAATATTAATTTTATTTTTTATATAAAATGATGTTCCAGGGCCCAAAAGGTTATATAGCACAAATATGTGAAGTACACCTGCAGTATGGAAACAGTACAACAAAATGGTCGTTTTACACTTTTTTCTAGTAAATTCCACTCTAATATATATTCTATTCTCTTTGGCTATGTCCCAGAACCACCTACTACCTGTTAAAATTCAAACCACCAATTCAAAGTTAAAGATTAGGGAAAGATTTATTAAATTCGGTCCCAATTGTAGTGTCTAAACCATGGTTACCTGATTCCTCCTCCTGTCCCAGGATATTGGACATTTCCCGCCTGCAACCAAACAGTTCAAACTTAAATTTTGATTCTTAAAAAATTAAGAATTAAATACCAATTTTTGGAATTGTAGCACAAAGAAGTCTATTTTCCTCAATAAAGATGTCCCTGTAGACCAGAACAAGAATTGCATACTCTAAAATCTAAATTGTAAATTTTCGTCACTTTTGATTTTCCAAGAAGAATTTTTACTGGTTAAAAAAATCCTCAAATAAGAGAAACATAAATAAAAATTGGTTGGACAAAAGGAAAGAGCATTGTTTGTGATTCTATGATAGTTTGAATATTCCTCCCTTGATTCCTCTGTACATTCTGTCCTCCAGGTGGTTGTTCATCCTGTTGTAGTGCTCGATCCTTTGTTCCTTCGTCATGTTCATGAAGTCAGCATGATTCACAAGAGACCGAAACTGTTCTGGAGAGGGGTAGTGAAATGGAACTTCTCGGCTCTCTGAAAATATGCATTTTTAAAAATTATATTTTACTAAATTATATATCATGTTAATTTATAAAAATCTTTATAAAAAAGCCCTTTGCTTATATGTGCATATTTGTATGTGTTAAATGTTGGCTATAGCTGGCTAATGGCTTGCTTATATGTGTATATTTGTATGTGTTTATGGGAGCTATAGCTGGCTAAATGGCTTGCTTATATGTGTATATTTGTATGTGTTTATGGGAGCTATAGCTGGCTAATGGCTTGCTTATATGTGTATATTTGTATGTGTTTATGGGGGCTATAGTTGGCTAAATGGCTTGCTTATATGTGTATATTTGTATGTGTTTATGGGAGCTATAGCTGGCTAAATGGCTTGGTTATATGTGCATATTTGTATGTGGTTATGGGAGCTATAGCTGGCCAAATGGCTTGGTTATATGTGTATATTTGTATGTGTTTATGGGAGCTATAGCTGGCTAAATGAGGAAACTCATACCCTGGGGGTAACATTTTTTATGTCTTCAAAAATCAATTTAGATTTTTTTAATATTTAATTTTTTTCAATAGAATTTAAAAGCAGATAAAAAAATTTAAAAACAAGACTTTCATCTTTTTAAAAAGGGGCTAATAAACGGGCATAATATTCCACATTCTAATTTTTTTTGAAAATGCAGTTTTCAATATTCACTGCTCATTCAGACTTTGTCCCTCGAAGTTTGTATGGGGGGGGGGGCAGACTCCAACCATACGTGTTTACCTAGACTTGTTGAGTGTGCGGGGAGATTTGGACGTATATGAAGGGAACGAGGAGGTATCTGAGGACCGTATTGAGGATGCTGTTGGAACGAGTTCCTCCTGTGTTTTCAAATTTTGATTAATAAATTTTGATCAAACCTATTATTGCTAATGTTTAGAGAGGTGTGCAATACATACTCAATAGAAGTAAAATAGCATCTTAATAAAAATATTCTTTGTGATAACCATAGAAGCAAACATAACAAGATTTTGTTAACAAATTTTTCAACATTTATTTTGAACTGACACAAGTGAATCCCCTCATTGTCAAATGTTTCAGCTATTTTCATGGGTTTAAGGAGAAATGCATCCAAAGCTGAAGAACATTATAAAGTGGAACCTTCAGCTCGATCTGGATGTCTCAGGATCAATTCTTGATCCCTAAAAATTAATTTGATTAAACTGTAAGTCTGCATAAGATGGATATAATGCTTGATCCAGAGTACTGACTTCTGGCATAAAAATGATATCAAATGGAAACCAGTGTATAAGAATAAGATTATTATTTTCTTAATAAAGAAGCCATCATTATAAAAGTACAATTGAAATTTTTTTGCTTCATTTTTCATTCATTTTTCATACGGCAAAGCAATAATGGGAATGATACTCTATATAAATCAGACAAGGTTTAAATATTAATAAGCAAAGCATGTTTTCTTTAATGATCAATTAACTAATCAAACATTTTGATTGATTAGAAACTATGCAGCCCCAAATCAAACTTAATTAAACCTTTCATACTCAGAGGCCATTACTGGCTTTGAACTAGAAAGCTGAGAGCTTCTTTAGAAAACTAACAGAAAAGAAAGAAACTCACTATGATTTAAGAAAAAAAAATTTCTCCTACAAAAAACATAATTTAAGAATATTTAAAATTAAAAATATTTTTTTTTGTCCAATTTTGGTGCTCCAATATTAAGTAGGTAAGAAGCCAAAAATGGTTTTCACGTATTTCTGGACAAGGATGAATTTGAGATGAAGGAATTTCATTGGTTCTGGAGTTTTTACCTACAAAAAGCAAAAAAATCTGTCTCATTACATAGAAAGGGCACAGCTAATAAGGGCTAAGCTTTGTTTTTTCAATTAAAAAAATAATATTTTCCTTTTCAGTGTCTAAAATATTTTAAAACAAAATTAGAATGATTCTTCAAGAAACTAGACTAATCTTAGATTAACAAAGAATTAACAGTTTGCGGATGGATTCTCATCACATATTAAAACCATTAATAGACTAGAAATGTTAGTTATGGATATCAACAAATCAAAAACAATTGGTAAAGATAGTTGTAAAAAAAAACTGATTTTGAAAATGTATCCACCCTCAAATTAGGAGTTTTGTAGTTCGAATTTGTGCTCAAACTCAGAATTTACAGATCTTTAAAAAGTTTAATATGTCTCAATTGAATCCGAAAGAAGCTTTCCACAATACTGCATACTCAGTTCAACTACCTTACAAAGCCGGTCACTCCCTTTAAATCTGGAAATATTTTTCTTATTTTTGTAAAAATTTTAGATTTGGGCAAATTGCAAAATCAATAGAAAATATTGATAAAAATCAAAATTGATAATTTCCTGAATTCTCTAAGGTTTAAAAGTCCAGGTTCTCTTGGCCTATTTTGTTCTCTATTAGGACCATTTGTAGTTACAATTCCATTTTGATCTCGAACTACTGTGTTGTGTTCTCTTACAACTGCACTATAATCTCGCACATGTCCATTTTGATCTCTATAAATCCCATTTTGATCTTTTTGGGTTCTTGCCAGTCCATTATGTTCCTTTGAGGTGTGTTGGGCCTGGACATTGGTTGGTGCAGGATCCAGTACTGGCATGTACTTCATACTGCATAGGTCACACATTGATAATTTGAGGTTTTTAAATGTTTTGCTAAAGAGATCATAAACATAATCTCCAGTTACCATCCACACAAAGATGGCAATACCCTTAAAACTTTTATCTAATCATAAATGTGGAAGAAATCATCGTTTTTCAATGTTTAAAAGTGTTTTGTTTTGATAATTTCTTCAGTTTTCAAATTTAAACGTTAAAATATAATTCATACTTGATCAGACAAAGCTTTCTAGTGTAATTTTGTGAATAAGGCATTGCCGCCATCTTTGTTTAGAGTGTTGCTTCATTTTATACTTAAAGTCCCCTTTCAATTTTCAAATGATAGAATGAAGCCTAATCTTATCGAAGAAGAGCCTGTGTAATACTTTAAAGGATTGCTATTTTCAAGGTTAACGCCCATTTAAATTTTTAGACAAGTCTTAAACCAGGTCTAGAACCCTCATCTGGAAATGATTCTAGTGTTCACTATTGACGAGTACAGATCAAAACTTAGTTGGATGTTTAGACTCAAAGCTTTGGTTTGTCTACAACACTGCAAACATATTTGTTAATGATACAAAATCTTACTTTCTTAATAGCCCATTATCAAAAATGTATGTGTGACATACCTAAAGGGTTGAGGTAACTCGGGGTAAAACTGGAGCATTCTTGGATCTCGGGCTTGAAGACCTGGAATTATGCCATTGCACCTTAAAACAAAGGAATTGAGTCTTTGCCACAAACTCTGATTTTCTAATCTATATATATTTTTAACCCAATGTCATAAACCTTAGATATTTCAAACTATTAAATCAAGAACTTATTTTGTGAGATCAAATCATCTAAAATTGTAATATCAAAGTGAAGATTCCTTTAAAGATTAATAATCAGCTACTCTACTTAGGCATTACATTTTTCTCTTTCATTCTAACCCAGCAACTAAGATTTTTTTTGTGCCAATGTACTTTATCCTAATTAGGGTTTTTATTTCAGATTATATTAGTTTTGTAGAAGATGCTGTGAATTTATGACTTGCTAAGGGTGGAACAATACTAAATCAAAACACAAAAATATCATCCCTAAAAGCTGTATATAGAATTACAGGCGTAATAAAGCAGAACTTTTCAAACATGCTAACTGCTAACTGCTGTGCAGCTTTTCTAAATGTGTTTCCCATGGGTATCTCTGTTTCCCCAAATACTTTTTTTCTCTAAATAAATGAATATCATATGAAAAACACCTCATGGCTAGTTCTTTCTTATGTTGCCAGGCTCCATTAAGCTGGTATCCTGGACCAAACTCCGCTCTAAATGAATAATTGTCAGTATTTTTTTCAATTACAGACTTCCACATAATATTATCTCTTGATTGAAAATTATGTGTTTTCTAGAAAAGGTTTCAATAAAAAAACCATTAAAATAAAGTGCTTCTTCTGAAAACAGACAAGTAATGAAAATATAAATCTGCGGAGGACTTGGAACAGGTTGAAAGGGATTGTTCTTACTTTACTGTGACTTTGAAAAGGTTTCACAACAATCGGCAAAGGGTCTCCAAGATTCAAATTCTGTTGAAGTTTGCTTTAATCAAACAAACAAATTTGTTATCCCAGGTGAAAATATAAGGCAAAAGCTTGCCAAAACTTTGTTTTAAAAACCTTAAAAGGATCGTTTTTGCCTTATATTTTCTTCTGCAAACAAATTTGCATGTTTGATAAAAATTCAAAAGATTCTGTAAAACGAATCTGGCTATTGCCCATCTCTAACTGTGACATTTTGAAACTAGATTATTTTTTTTAAAACAAAAATTTGTAAGCTATAACAAATATTACTAAGTTTGGTTCTGTGTTGTCTTTAATCCTAGGTAGGTTTGGTTAAAGACTTCCAGTCCAGCAAAACAATGCTTTTTAATTTATAAACTTTAATCAATTTAAATGAATTTACAGAAAAGCATTTATCTCCATCTTTATATAAATTTGGCTTGTCTGTCTGTCTGTCTGTTTGTTTGTATCCTTAAAAACGTCAAAACGGCTGAACCGATCAGGCCCAAAGTTTTTGTGGGATCTCTCATGACCCCAGAGAAGATTAAATGATAAAAAATTTTAAAATTATGTTTTTAAAAGTTTTTTTATTTTTTTAAAAAATGTTAAAATCTTGAAAGTTCGCAAAATATATTTTCTTTGTTTTTCAATATTACAATGAGAACATGTTCACAATTGAAATAGAAGATGGGCGCGAAGCGCCCTAAAAGCCCAGTTCTGTATACTGCACAATTCTTTAATATGTGGGATTCAAGGGGAAACAAATTTTATCTTCATTAAATTTTAGATCATGGCTTTGCTTTAAACAACCTTCCAACCTTAAATATTAATTTTATTTGAAAAACTGCACAATCTTAAAATTCTGAGAATATTTAAAATTAAGATTCCTAAATTATTTTGTCAAAATAATACTGCATAGAGTTCAGGGCCTATAAGTGGAAAATTACACTAGTAAAACTACTCCCCCGCCTCACATTTTTCAAGAAAATAAAATTTTTGGACAGTATTTAATCATGATTTTTTTAAAATGAGTGCAAACCTGCGAGCCATGTCTTGATGTGCTACTGAATGATGTCCATTCCCTAAACCTGAAGCAAAGTTAATTTCTTACATATGCATAGATAACACTGACAGGACAAAACAGAAATACTGGGTCCAGGTTGATAACCAACACATTTTTCTTATAACTTAATTAATTAGTTCAAATTAACTTTTTTTTTCAATATAAGATCAATTTTTAACTATTTATATATCAAAAAAAGCTAATTTGTTAAACAAATTTATCACACACTTCAAGAAAATTTTTGCAAAAGTTGTTGGCCAACAAGGAAGCAAAAAAATGCCCTAAATCACAAGAAATTGGGTGTATGAAGTATAAGCATGAAGAATTCAAAAGCTAAAACTATTGAAAATAAAAGCCTTGATATTATTAAGTTTACTAGGAACTTACCAAGATGAGCAGGATGTGGATAGAATCCAGGCTTAGAAGGAAGTGCATGGCTGGGGTGCACGCTTTGGGCATGACAAGAGGGTGGTATTGAGTTATGATTATGAACAGGGGCATGGATGTGAGGATGGTTGGATGGTAGAACATGGCTAGAAGGTATGATATGACTAGAGGGTAATATATGGCTTGATGGCAGGATATGACTGGAGGGCTGGATTTGATGTTGTGGTGAAGTGGGAACCACAACCTTTGGGATATTCTCAACTTTACAATGAAGAAGATTAGATCGTGCAGGAGACCTCTGCTCTGTGGTATTACTAGTTCCAGACACAGAAACCTGAATCAAAATATAATCTATTTAGACACTTCTGTGGAATAATCAGATGGAAATTTGTCTGATGGTTTTATGATAGTCATTTCTAATATATATATAGCTTTCATTCTTTAATTTCTTTAAAAATACTCTAAGTTCTGTGGCAGGAAAATTGCTATAATTATCATTATAACTGATGGTACTTTAGCAACAACAAAGCAATTGAGTTCTTGCCACAAACTCAAATATTCTAATCTCAATATCTATGCAACCTAATGGTTACTTAAATTATCTCACAGAATTCATAGCAGGGAATAGGAATAAAGGGAAAGGAAATGAATAACGAGTAGTGTATTGTAAACTTTAATCAAATTATATTCTTTGCATATTTATTTAAGTAAACAATTAACAATAAACAAGTGTACTCTCCTAGACTGTACAAATACCGAGATTCTTATGTACTGTATATACCTACAGTACACGCCTTCGATTCAGTATTCCTTACACACACTCTTTTGTTACAGACACACACACATGACGTTTCCGCCCCTGATTCATAGTTGGAAACAAATAAGATTTTCAAAATTAAGTTTGTGGCAAAGACTCGATTTCTATAATAAGTATCTATGAAGAAACTCTAATTTGGAAAAAAGTATGCTTGTATTTTCAGAGTTCTCTTTTCTCATTCCTAAATCCAAGTTTCTTTAAACACAGGCTCAAAACTATGTTTTAGCTACAGTCCTCATGGTATATATATAAATACAATATAACCAACTTTCAATTTTAACCTTTAAGGAATTGAGTCTTTGCCACAATCTCTGATTTTTTATCCCTATATCTTTGCAACCCAATGACGTAGACTGTGGAATATCAAACTAAAAACTATGTTATTACATACATGTTATGTTATTACACCATCAGGTTGTAAAGATATAGAAATTTGAACATTTTAGTTTGTGGCTAGAACTTAATTCCTTTTCACCAAGCGCAATAACACTATGCATTCACATAAATTTAGAAGTTAAGAGAAGCTGTCGAATACTAGCTTTTCTTGTTGTACTTGTAAACTTGTAATTTGAAAAAAACCTTTAAAGAAATCTAAACTAAAAATAACAAAGTCTTAGTTTGAAATATTAAAGATTTCCACTGTCAGATTGCAAAGGTATAGGGATTAGAAAATTTAAGTTTATGGTTAATACTCAGTTCCTTTAAAAGAGTAAATTAGATATCAAGATTAAGATTTCAAGCTTAACAATATCCACACTAACGTGCTGATCTCAAGTATCAACTTTCTAGCTATCATGTGTCTAAACAATTATATCTTTTAAATTTTTACTAAGAATTGATTTTGTGCTGAAATCAAGCATGTTATTTTAAAGATTAACCAGGGAAACCTGGGCAGTTCAGAAACTCCTCCCTTTAAATAGCCATAAAAGAAACATAGTCTACCCCTGTGAATAAAAAAGTGTTGAAAAATACAAATGTACATTTTTTTCACAGCCCCCTAACCCCCCCCCCCACCTCTCATGTTTGCCATTGTAGGGTTAAGGACAATTGAAAATTAAAAATTTCTCCAACCAAGTTAAAATAGTTTTCCCGTAAAATAGAATTTGTAAGCAAATTTCAGATTAGGCAATGTAAACTGATAAACTTGACTGATTTAACTTCTCATATTTCAAATCTAGCTTAAATCCCCCACTTTTTTAATTCCTTTTTATTTAAACTTTTATAATAGAATTTCTCAGAATGTATTTATTTTTTTAATTAAATACAAAACATGTTTCAATTGCAAGTCTTAATATGAATTGAACTAAAAACTTGCATTAAAACATCTTTAAATAACTGGCACTTGCAATGTTTCTAACCCCAAAAATGTAAAACGTCTAAAGTTCTGAATGTTATCAAACAAGTAAACATAGTCTTAAACTGTTTTTTCCATTGCATTACTTCTTTGCTAAACTTTAGAATTTTCTTAGTATTTTCCCTGTAATCTAAGAATCTCTAATCCCTGCTCGTATCTTTTTTGTGTTGTTTGCTTTAGCTATTTCAGTGCTTTATGTACATTTAATTTTGCTCTTTTTTCATTATGTTTTATTTTAGGCTATACATTGTGGGCTAAGTATAAAATGGTCCTTGACATAATTGTAACAAATGATTACTTTACTTGGAAAATAGAGTATTATTATTATTATAATCGAGAAAATAATCATAATACCTGAGTGTGTTGTTCTGCATGTTTAGAACCAGGCAAAGATGTTACTGGTTTACTCAGTGCTGCTGCTGCTGCTCTTGCTCCAGCTGCTCCTGTTGCAGCTGCTGCTGCTGCTGAAGATGGGGTTGTAAGTCTGGATTGTGGCATTTGACGAAAGGACTCCATGTATGCCATCTCCATTTTAGCCTAAACAAGGATTAAAAATGACTCCTAAATAAACTTCTGTAATTAATCCCCTAATATTATCCCTGCTTGAGTACTTAAAGCCAGGATACACGGAGGAGGGGGGGGGGGGGGTCAAAAAAGAATTAAAATAATTAGATCAGCATAGTGAAGTTTTGTTGAAAACTCATGGTGCAGAGGTAATTGCTTTGTAGTATGAACTTAAACTTGAGTCATTCATTTTAAAGTATGATGCTTAGTATTTGTAGTTTCATCAAAATTAATCCAGGAAAAAGACTATTTAATGCATACTTCTCTTAATGGTACAGTTTAAACAGAAAACAATTTAACTTTGGGTTTGATTAAACTATATCTAGAAAAAAAGTCCAGTGTTTAAATAAAATACTTAATTTATTCCATTATAACTTGGTAATTCGTGCATTCCTCACCTTGGAAAATAGGATTATTCAGGTATTTAGCAAAGAATATAAATTTTCTACCTGGTATTTATTTTAGCAATCTTACAAAAGGTATCCAAAAATAGGTGCAAAATTCTCAGAAGTAAAAACTTTTGTAAGCGGTATTTTTTTTTATTTAAATGGAAGTTTTAAGAATAAAAATTAATATTTCACTCTAACTCTTTGATAATCTGTCATTTTCTGAACAATCCATTTAATTTTTAAAAAGTTGTGTAATCAAAATGTTTGCATAACAGTAAAAAAATCATGAAAAAGTTTAATGGTTTCATGAATCATTTAATAAAGTGCTGAAAATATTTTTATGATAGAATTCTAATTGAATATGACAAATTCATCATTTCTAAGTTGGGTTAGGCTAGGTCAGGTGGGGTTAAGTGAACTATACTAAACTATATGTACAAAGTTAATATTTTTTCAGAAATTGCAGAAATTACAGGCACAAATTTAGAAGTTGAAAAAAGAAGAAGTTGTTCACCCTCCACTATAATTTCAGTAGAAGTAAATATTTCCACTTACGGATAGCGTCAATTGAAGGATTCATGACTCTGATTGGATAATGAGTTAGATAGAAAGATAGATGTTACCGTCATACTATTGGATAATGAGATAGATAGAAAGATAGATGTTACCGTCATACTATTTCTATTGGTTCAGAATAAACAACAAACACATGACTGAACCTTGATTTGATCAGGCACTAATGGACGCGGCATGCAGACTAATTTTCAAATCTTTTTATCTGTACGAGCTGATGTTTTAAACCTTTGGTAGGTCTGCTGAATATAATAATGAACTAGCTAAGTGTCCTGCGTTGACCCATGGAATTTTGAAAAATCAAATTTTAAATAAAAAAATCGACTTTTGAAAAATCAAAATAGATTTTTTAAAATCATTTCTTAAAGAAAAAAATCTAATTTTATCAGCCAATTTGTTACCCCCGGAGTACTTGAGGGTTCCCTCAAAAAATAAAGGCAATAGAAAATTTGAGTTTGGGGCAGGTTTTAAGCCCCCTTTTTTGAACTTTATGGCACAAAAAATCTTTTTGCTTTGTAAATATTACAATTTCTATACATTGTGTACGTAATTCTAGAATGTTAAAAAACCAACCTTTTCTAGTTGTCCGATCAATTTTTCTTTCATCGTTTGAATCTGGAAGAGTGACTCCATTTCCTGGATTTTTCGACTCTGTAGAGATTCTATGTCCTAAAAAGAGAGAACAGTCCATTTAAAAATATAAACAGAAATTATTTTAAGAAATGGATTTTTTAAATTTTTGGATGTAGTTTTGTTCGGCTGCCAGATTATATATTGAATATATCATAACTCTGTTTATTGAAGAGCTGTAAACAAGAATTTCTGATGTGTAACAGAATATATTTTCTTTTCTCCGCATAAAATTATAACTAGAGGAGCTAGGAAGGCACAAAGTTTTACCAGTTATGTAAATTACCTTCTTTTTCCGCCATCATAGTTACACCATTAAAATAAATATATATTCACACTGTTATGTATTATGTATTATGACAGAGGGAAAATTTGTCAAACTCAAATTTTTTTGCAACCTGGTAAACCATTTTTACAATATTAACCATTTTTACTATGATATATATCATTTTTACAATTTTTACCATTTTAAAATTTTTACTTTGAATGCCATTTTTACCATTTTTACTATTTTTATAATTTTACTATTTTTGCCATTTTTACCATTTTTTAATTTTTTGCTATGTTCTTACCATGTTCTACCATTTTTACCATTTTTACCATTTTCTACCATTTTTACATTGTTTACCTGCAATAGTTTATTTCTTTTCCGGCAAAGTTCATCTTTTGCAGTTAAAGATGGTTTTCTTATGTTTTTGTTTCCTTGTCCTTCCATATCCTCTTTCTCCTCATTCTTTCTCTTTTTTCCATCCGTTCTGATTTCTTCTTCTTTATTTTCTTCTTGTTTACTATCTTTCAAACTCTTTTTCTTCTTTAAGTCTATCGGACTTTCAGTATTTTCTTGGCAACGTTTCAGTTTTTTAGTTTCACTAGGTCCGGTATCATCATTATCACTGTTATCATTCTCATATCTCTTCAGGGTTCCTTCATTACCTCTCTCTTCTTCTCTTCGTACTTTCATCATCATTTCTCTTTCAACTCTTATTTTATCCGTTTCCTTTTCTACTTTCAATCTCTCTTTCCTCCTTCCATCTCCAGACTCCTGTTCTCCTTTCCCATCCTTCCAGTCGACTCTTCCATCTTCTTCTTCTTCTTTCCCATCCTTCCAGTCTCTTCCATCTTCTTCTTCTTCTTCTTCTTTCCTATCCTTCCAGTCTCTTCCATCTTCTTCTTCTTCTTCTTCTTTCCCATCCTTCCAGTCTATTCGATCTTCTTCTTCTTCTTGTTTCTCACTGTAGAATAAATTCTTCTTCACTGATATCTCCACTCCTCGGTTCTCAGGTCTAGAAGAGAAAGAAAAATTTGGTACAATCTTAGAATTGCCGCAGCCGCCTGCCCCCCCCCCCTCTCCTTTCTGTTACTATCTATCTATCTAAATTATCCTAATAGTTTTTGTATTGCTCCAAACTCACTTTTATAATTCAGATTTAAATTAACCCTATCTTGGCTGGTATATCTCAAAACATGGGGAAAGGGGGGGAATCCAAATATAATAAGTAAAAGTAGTACATTTTTATATTACGGAAAATATTATCAAATTTGCATAAATCAATTTTTTAGATTTTTTTTTTTGTAAAAAATGTAAAATTATGAGCGTCAAAAGAGACGCAAGCCAGATTCATAGGAGTACTCCTAAAACCTTTTTTTATCCATAGATGTGGAAAATAATGACGTTTATCGATAGAGGTGCTTTGAAAATCACTTTTACAGAGACCACAACTGTAAAAATCAATTTTCAAGTTAAAAACATGGATAGTTTGCTCATTCTTTATCATACAAAGCTTATATTTCCTCGTGAATCGGACCGTCTCCGTCCCTTTAATCCTTTCCTTCTTGTTCCGGTATATATTTTTCTAGGACTGAACGGAATTGAATAATTTCATAAAAAAAACTATTTCTTTTATAAGCTGTAAAATAAACACATTAAATTGTTTTCCATCCTTCAGTAAACTTGGACACGCCCCTTTATCAAATAAACCACGCCTTAGACCGATTCACACGTAATCAATAATGCAGTCCGTACATTTATTATCTATCTATCTATCTATCTATCTACATATATATCTATATATCTATCTATCTATCTTGTATCTACCTGGATTCCAGTTTATTAAGTAGGTTCCCAAGCATGTAATCGTATTGGTTCACAATATCCACCGCTTTCTGAAATAATACAGTGGTCACCAGAAATAATACAGTGGTCACCAGAAAACAATTTAATGGTTATCGTCTTCTCTCTTTCCTTTTATCCGGAAGGATTTTGTAAATTGAAAATTTTGTAAAAATGTTCAAGGCACATTTTTAACATACAGAGTTACCCACACAGGATGAGACTTCAGAGACGACTGTACGAAATTTGTATTGTCTCTTTCCATGTATTCATGATTCCCTGCATTTGTAAACTTGTGTACTTCTTTGCTAATTCATTTAGTAAGCCATTACAAGACCTTATCAAAACCAGAAGACTTACTTTAACTCTGGGATCTTTAAATCTTAAAAGTTTCAGGTCGTCTTTTCAGTGTCATTTTTTGTGAGTAAACCTGTATATTTAAATTAAGAAAGACAAAAAATATTCTTAAGTAATCTGGTTATAACAGCTGTTTTCTCTGGATTAAATGTTGAAGTGTGTTTACATGTAATTAAATCATTATTATCCTTATTGTTATTTTAACTGTTCAAATGTTTTTAAAAATAATATTCAAAAACTTATTGTTTTGACGTAATAATATTTTTGAGAGATTTTAAACTATAATTACTGTTTGAACAGGTGTACCCCTGAACTCCCTGAACAGATTTAAAGATTAGCATCTCTAGAAATGCCTTGCAAGGTTTTCAGATGAAAGCTTACTATATAGACTTTGATGAAGACTACGTAAGGAAAGTTTGGCCGAATTTTGTTTAAAATTTATTTAAATAATAATAAATATTTGTTTGTTTGTTAATCATCAAAAATTCGATTATTTGAATTGTGATTATTTTTTTATCAGAGACTTAGGGATTTATTCGGAACAGAAACAACCAAGAAAATTGAAAGAATTCAACACTTTTTAAGAAAGAAAAATGACGATATCATTCTCATTGATGTAACAGATAAATTTATCAAGGGTATAGCTGTTAATCGACGATGCAACTCTTAAAGCTTCACATGGGGTCACTTAAAGTACGTTTGACAGCAAAAAAAATTACAAAATTGGAAAACAAATGGTCACAAATAAATAGAGAAATCAAAAGAATAAAATGATATTTGATAATCAGTTATACTTTATAATAATTTAATTTCTATGTTAATTAATAATAATATATTGATATGTAAATAATTTCAAGGTTTTGTTCACATCAAAACTTTGTAACAATTGAGAAAAAAACACAGCTGCATATTCTATAATTGTTGTTAATTAAAGACATAATTGTTGTTTTAACTACTCTCTTTAATTATCATGTTTAAAAATGTGATAAAATCAAATCATTCATCGTCAACACTTTTTATATAATTAATATTAATAATTTCACCATCACCGCTAACTTTTTATAAAACTGAAAATTCATTTTTTATAGTTTTTCACATGACTAAATTTTGCCACCTGTTTTAGTCATTTAAGCTTTTGCAGATGTTACATTTATATCTACTGCAAATTATGGTAATTAAGCTGGTTAACGTAGCAAAGAAAAGCTTTAAACTTTAACAGGTGGATTTGGAAAGATTGCACAGGCTAATTTTTTATCCGTGCTTTGATTAACAAATGTTCTTTAAAGTTATAGTGAAAGTTTAAAAAACTATTAAAACAACTTTTTCCCTTTTCAAAAATATCTTTTATGAAACTATTGTGTACTTTATCATTCTTACTCAATTCATTGTGAATTTATTAAGAACGTGCTATAAAGCAATCATAGTTCAATTAGCTGAACATTATAGCACGTGTGCCATAAAGTTTTGATTGGTTCCCGGATTTTCTCCAATAAAAATTGGGTATTTCCAAAATATTTTTTTTAATTGAAATGAATAAATTGAAATTAAATTCATAATATTATTTCTGCTTTCTTGAAAGTTAAAAAGCATATCATATATAGAAATTTCCATTGCAATAAAACAAGAACACAAACGTTTCCTAAAATTACCTATAGCACTATTAGTTTAGCACGACGTGCTGAAATGTTTTTGGACAGAAATTTTCTCTTTAATCCAGCAGGTTCGAGCTATTTTAGATTTTATTTTTTTCCCCGAGCTTTAGCGAACCAAAATAATTGTATTATAAATAGTTATTAACATTATTTGTATTTTTTTGTATTTAGATCATTTTTATCCGCTATTTCATGTTAATTTATTTAATTCTTGTAAAGAATATGCTGTAGTGAATGGTTAGTCAAAATGGCAAACGTTATAGGACACTCAAATTTAAAAAAATAATTAAACAATTAACACGACCTGTCATCATCGAAGGATCCAAAAAAGTTAAGGAAAGATGTACCTTTTCTCTATGCTTTTCAAGTTTTGTTGTATTTTCACTCTCCCTGTCTCCTAAAAAAACATTTATGATTTAAAGGCAAAAATTAAGTGGATATTTAATTTTCAAACTGTATATACTATTACGGGCAACCAATGATAGAATATAAAGGATCCGAGTATTTGACACAAACTCAAATTTTCTAATCTCTATATCTTTGAAACCTGATGGTATAATAAACCTGTCATATTTCAAAGTTATATTTATTAATCTGAATGAATTCTTCATTCTTTGAAATATCAAAGGTCTATTTTGTTGGGTTGCAAAGAATTAAGAGGATAGAAAATCAGATTTTGTGGCAAAGACTCAGTTCCTTTTAACGTAAGTATAGTTTTAAAGCCATTTGAACCTGCGTTTCATACACACAAATTCAACAGTGGTAACATAAAAAAATGTTTTAATCTTCTCTTATTTCTCTTTTTTTTTAACTCTAACCACCCCGTACACAACCCACGGGTCATGACGGATTCATAAATAAAAATAACAATAAAATATAATTTTTTACATACATATAGATAGATTATGAATGACGGAATTTTTATTTGCAAGAATGTGCCACACCCTAATGTATTCTGGTATATAATTATAGGATTATGTATGTGCCACACCCTAATGTATTCTGGTATATAATCATAGGATTATGCATGTAAAAAAATGACAGGAAATGCATTAAAGGGACTGTAAGCTCAGATACTCTTGATATGATTAATAATTTGGAAGATCTGCAAAAAAAAGTCACACTTGCAGGGAAACCACAGTTGTAAATAAATTATAAACATTTATATATAATTCATTCTTGATCAGACAAAGCTAGTAAGGGACATGGCCATATTTGCATGGAAGGTCACTTGAAATTATGCATACAGTCCCCTTAACCCTATTCAGGCTGACGTCTGGTTTACCCAAAATAGTTCTATTTCCTTATTCTGATAAAAATCAATATAATTTGATACATTTTTGAAAAGCCCATGGGCTCTACTTTAATAATCTACAAAAAATTGCAAATAAACAGAATTTCAAATTTTTATTGAAATATCAAGTCATAAATTTATTTGTGGTATTGGGAGTAAATGTGGATTTACTAATATTAATGGATCAGCTTTTAAATAAAAACAGTAAAACAATTTACTCATCTAGTGCCCCGCCCCCCCCCCCCTTTACAATATCCGAAAACAGTTCTTCATTAAAAAAAGTGGTAAATGGTAATTTTTTAGGGCCCTAATTCTAATCGGAGTAGTTTCACTTCTTGGAACATTAATCTTGGACATTTTGAGTGGGTTTGATGATTGGTTAAAGTCTAAGTGTATATTACAAAGATACCAGGGGAGAGGATGGGACGGCAATAACTCCAACAGGATATTGAAAAATTTTGACTCCTTAAAAAATGGAATTACTGAAGACTGAACCTCATCTTGTCCCCTTCGTTCAATGTTTGAAAGACTTTCGAGATGTTAAAGATGCTTGTTTTTCAAAAAAAAACTTGAATTTTGATACAAATTCTGTTTTGCTAGATTTAAAAACTCCTTTAAGTCCTGTCAAGAACTAGCTAATTTGCTTGGATTTAATTTGAATATAACTTGGAAAGTGCTCTGCCATGTTGAACCATTTGTAGAATTCCATTCGTGTGGTTTGTCAAATTTTGCTGAACAAACTGGAGAAGCAATACATGCAAATTTCAAACCTACATGGGCAAGGTTTAAGAGACTTGAGGAACATCCTGAACATGCAGACAGACTTCTTAAAGCAGTCATGGACTTTGGTGGTCGAAGAATAAGCTGATTTATATACTTATATAAAGTGTTTTTCATGTATATAGTAATAAAAACTGTAATAAAGGCTAGCTATTTTACAAATGTCAAAATTTTGATTTAACACCTAGTGTAGATTTTAAAAACATTTTTTTTGAACATCCTATATATATGTTAGTAAAAAATGTTTGGTTCGAGTGCAACAACTTTGAACCTGGCGGTCATTTTGGTCCAGTGTGAGGGGTATGATTGAAAAGTTTCTGTTAACAAATAAACTGTTACGTGTAGACGGATAAGATAATTTTATATAATCGCACTATTTCATCGCAGTTTTTTAATTACGTTTAATTCCTTTCTAAATTTCTAAATCTCTAAAACAATATTGTTATCCAATAAAAAAGTTTAAATAATAAAAGCGCAGATAGACCTTCGATATTTCCAACTAAGAATTCTATGAATTAAAATAGTCCTGAATCAAAGGTTTGCACCATCAATACTAAAAATTAAAATAGTCCTGAATCAAAGGTTTGCACCATCAAGACTAAAAATTAAAATAGTCCTGAATCAAAGGTTTGCACCATCAATACTAAAAATCAAAATAGTCCTGAATCAAAGGTTTGCACCATCAATACTAAAAATTAAAATAGTCCTGAATCAAAGGTTTGCACCATAAAGACTAAAAATTAAAATAGTCCTGAATCAAAGGTTTGCACCATCAAGACTAAAAATTAAAATAGTCCTGAATCAAAGGTTTGCACCATCAAGACTAAAAATTAAAATAGTCCTGAATCAAAGGTTTGCACCATCAATACTAAAAATTAAAATAGTCCTGAATCAAAGGTTTGCACCATCAATACTAAAAATTAAAATCAGAGTTTGTTGCAAAAAAATTCCCTTGATGTTGCATGTGCCTACTTTCAAAAGGCACATTTTTTCCTCTAAAAATAGGTGATTTATGTTTTAAAATTGATGATTCATACAATACTGGAAATCAATTTTAAAATACTTCAGAAAATAGTATTTCCAAAAACTTTAAAAATGTTATATTTTAATCTCGGGTAACATGCTTTTTGGACAACTATAAAATACTAGCTCGGGAATACAGCTTTGCCCTCAAACAATTAGGATTCAACTAAGAACTTTTAAATCTAGCTAAGAACGTTCTACAGAGTTAGCTAATTTGAGGCAAATCGGTAAAGGGGCTCCTGAGTTATGATCGGACATATAAACAAACAAACAGGGATATTTATAGATAACATAATAATTGTAATTCATATTCTGTATGCACCAAATAGATTGTCAAGTACAATAGATAGCAACGTATAATGTGTACACTCTCAGAATAGTTGTATTCTTACGTCACGAGTGTCAACTCAGTTTTTTATCTGACAAAATTACTAATAATTGTGATAAAGGAACTGAGTTATTGTCAAAAAGCCAAATTTTCTAAACCCTGTATCTTTGCAACCTGATAGTTTAAACCTTTGATATTTCAAACTTAGAGTGTTTAATATAGCATAATTCATAATTTGAAATATTAAAGTTCTACGACACCGGGTTTCAAAGATAAAAGGATTAAAAGATTTGATTTTGTGGCAATAAATTAAATCCTTTAGACTAAGTGCTTATCTTTATAGTGAAATATAAGTGCAATTATATGTCTTCTTTTTTCCTGTTTTTACATTTTTTATTTAATCTTGAAAAATATGTCCATTTCTCTGTTGTCTACTTTTGTACTTGTAATCTATTTGTTTGTAATTTGTAATTTGTGATCTTTTTGTTATAATCTGTATATACTAAAGTTATAACTTTTAAAATTGTGAATCCCGGGATTTAATGCAGACCTACGTAATAATAATAATTAAATAAGGGTGGAACAATTTGCCACTATTTTTAGAAAAAAGATCTGAGCTGAAAACTTTAGAATGGGATATCCTTATTTATCCCGATCGGTTAATTAAGCTACAAACTAATAACTAGAGGAGAACAAGCATTTGATATCGAGATTAAGAAAAAGAGTGGATCAAGCATTAAGTCCGATATCCACTATTCAAAAGTTCCCAGCTCAGATCCTTTAAGCACGTTTCTTAAAAGATTCTATGATAAAAATCAAAACAAAAATGTATTTTTTTTCTTACTCTTAAATTCATGCAGGCATCACGTTTTTGTAAATAATAAATCACTAGTGCAAGCAAAAATATTTTTTTCCAAAATATGTTGATTTGGCCTGGTAACAAAAAATCTGTCTTGAAACACTGAATTCAAAATTTATAAAATAATAAAAATCGGTAAAAAATTTAATAAGTTTTATGCAAAAACGAACTTTTTAGTGGAAATTTGCCAGAGTCATCCAAAATTAATAGTTTTTGGCCCAAGATCAACCAATTTTCACAATTTCAAAAAACAACAACTGGGCAATATTCAGTTGTTTTGACACCCATATCGACGTGTAGAAAAATTGAAAAATCATCGATTTTTTAAAGTACTTACGCTGACCATTTTTTGAAATTTTAAACAAAAATTTATTACGTTTTTTGTAAGTTTAATTGAGCAATTTTTGCTGCGTTTTGGTAAATTTTGAAAAAAAATTAATATTGCACCAGGGTTGATCTAAATATCAGATTTGTCATGAAGCACTTTTAATGTATAAAAACTTAAATGTTAAAAAAACGGACTGTACACGTAATTTCAAGGACGTCAGACTTAGCCCAATTAATCTACTTTGGTTGCAACAGTTAAATACTTTCTTAAGTGATAAGAATATTTGAAAACGCTGTTAACGTAAAAAAGTCTACTTTCGAGTTACGCAAGTAACAGATCAGAGCCCGCGATTTAAAAGCTTCGGCTCGAGCCGTAATTCCTTAAACCCGACTTTAAGACCCAATCTTCGACCCAACTCTGACGACAGCTTGTGTCACGTGATTGACAGCTGCGAGATCTTAGGCTCGACTTAAGGAGTTAGGCCCAATGAAAATAAAACCGACCTTGGTTGGTTTTAGTGAAGAATAAGGCTCAATGTTGGGTCTTATTCTCATCAAAACCCGGAATGCGCCAATTCCAACTATGAAAATCCGCCAACTACAACATTAAACCGGTGTTATGAACTAAACTCTGTTAAAAATTAGATGCAACTTAAATCCGAAAGCCCGAGCCGTAAATAAGGCTCAACGACAGCTTAGACCCGATCGGTATTTTATTGAATTTTTTAAATCGCCGGCTCAGGTGTACATAGCGAACAGTCATGTTTAAAGCTGTTTGAGTTCAGACTGAACATGGCGTACAGTCGTGTTTAAAGCTGTTTAAGGTCAGACTACAAATAGCGTACAGTCGCGTTTAAAGCTGTTTGAGTTCAGGCTGTACATAGCGTACAGTCGTGTTTAAAGCTGTTTAAGAACAGACTGTACAAAGCGTATAGTCAAAGGTTTCAAGGATGCCATTGTGAATTGGGCATTGCCCTTTTTGTATGAAAGTTCATTTAAAAATACGCTTACAGTCCCTTTAAGCGATGCCCATCTCTTATTACAATGCTACCTGGTATCTTTACTCGAATTTGAATAGTTTCTCCCTCGTTATTTTCCATAATAGCGATGCAAGGGGTTTCCATTTCTTCAAGGATTTTTTTCTCCTTCTCCTTTTTCTCCTTCCTCTCTTTTTCTTCGATCCAGTTCTTCACTTTCAGGCTTTTTAGCTCTTCCTTTTTTCCCCGTTTTTCTTTCTCCGTTTGTTTGCTAGTGGCATTCTGTGAAAACATAATGAAATATTTCTTTTTTAAAGAAAAGTATTTTGAAAGTCTAATATATTCAAGCTCTGAAAAGTTTTTAGAATTCATTTTAATAGAATTAAATAGTTAGTGTTTGATCATTTCAGTTTGTGCTTCTTTGGGTTAAAAGGACTGTAAGTTTAATTTCAAATTAATTAACCCCTGAAGCAAAAAGGACAATGCCCGATTCCCAACGTTACCCTTGAAGCATTCATCTGATCAATAATGAGGAAGATGTGGTATTTAATTATGCTAATTACTATATGTTTTCTGACATTAGAAATGCGCAATTGTCACTGTTATAAAGAACCCACAATTGAAAATAATATGTTTTCAAAATTGAAAACATACTTGAACAGATCTAAAGCTTTTTCGGATACCGTTGTCAGCTTTCCATGAAAGGTCACCAGAAATAACGCTTACAGTCCCTTTAAACGCAAATATTTATGATGTTTTTCCTTGATTTCTTCCGTTGAGGGTAGTATGTGTTTCCGTTTGATCTCACTATAGATGGAAGGCATTTCATGTTTAAATTTACTCGTAAAAGTGCCCTGCGTTGCTTGTAGAATTTCAAAAATGTCAAAACTTTAAAGAACCAAATTAATCCTTAAATTGATATTTCAAGCGACATCCTAAAAATGTTTACAAGAAGATTGTTCAAGATCAATATCGAAATTCCAAATGTATGCCTTAACCTGGTTGTATTCCTATTATAATCCTCTTCATCTACTACTAGGAAGGTTTCATCTTCTCCTTCATCGCCTTCTTCTTCTCTTTCTTCCTCTCTTTCTTCTTCTACTTCCTCTTCTTCCTCCCCAGCGGCCCCGTCAGACTCAACAGTATTCTCCACCAACAAGTCTCTTCTAAACAATTTTTTTACATTTTTTGACTTTTTTAAATATATGGTTGAAACATAACTTAAATAACATCCGATAAGTTTTCAAATTTAACGGTTCGTGATATTTTGGACACACTGATCCATTTTTAAACCGTAAGCATTGTTTTTAACGTTTTAAGGGTAGCGATTTGTATTGCTTTATGAGGTAGCGTTTTATGATGAATGAGGTAGCGTTTTATTAGGTATTGTTTTATGATGTACCGTTTTACAAGGAAGTGTTTTATAAGGTAATTCTTTATGATGTAGCGTTTCATGAGGTAGCGTTTTATGATTATAGCATATTATGAGGTAGCGTTTTATGAGGTAGCGTTTTACAAGGAAGCATTTTATGAGGTAGCATTTTTTGAGGTACTGTTTCATGAGGTAGCTTTTATGAGGTAGCGTTTTATGAGGTAGCGTTTTATGAGGAAGCATTTTATGAGGTAGCATTTTATGAGGTAGTTTTTTATGAGGTAGCGTTTATGAGGTAGCATTTCGTGAGGTAACGTTTGTTATGGTAGCATTTTATGAGGAAGCGTTTTATCTAAGAAACAACCCTCTCCCCACCTCCACCTCTCTAGTATTCAAGACAACTATTAAAAGCAGGTTAGCGGGAGGGGGGGGGGGGGGGTATAGGAGAGGAGAAAGCGATAAAGGTGGAAAGAGGGAGAGAAATTTCCATGTAATTATTTTTTAATAAATGTTGATTTCGTAGGAAAAATCTAATTCATTTGAGAGAATCCCGAGTTTTTTTTTCTAAAAAGTAATATCTCTGTATTTTGTAAGTGCAGAACTTATAAATCATTATTGTCCACGCTATGATTTAAAATAACAAGGGTTTAATAGTGTTCCAAAAACTTCAGTTTTCTGAAAAGGTGTTTGTCATTTTTTCATCAGTTTTTTTAGTGTTAAAGGGAGTGTTCGCGAAAAAATACGATCTTAAGTATTGATTCCTTATTTTACACTCAAAAGATAGAAGTAAAATTAGTTGCGATGGAAACCAAATTCATTTTTTGCGAACACTCCCTTTAAACTTTTGGAATTTTTATCACATGGTTAGCAAAAACTGAGCGTTTCCATAAATAAAACAGTATTTTTCCCATATTTTACACTTTTTTTGTTTATCCAATTAAAATTTAATGTTTCTCCAATCGATTTTAAGGATATCTGCATTCAAGTATTTCTTAAACTTATTCAAGTATTTCTTTAACTTATTCAAGTATTTCTTTAACTTATTCAAACATTTCTTAAACTTATTCAAGTATTTCTTTAACTTATTCGAGTATTTTTTTAACTTATTCCAGTATTTCTTAAACTTATTCGAGTATTTCTTTAACTTATTCAAGTATTTCTTAAACTTATTCAAATATTTCTTAAACTTATTCAAGTATTTCTTAAACTTATTCAAGTATTTCTTAAACTTATTCAAGTATTTCTTAAACTTATTCAAGTATTTCTTAAACTTATTCAAGTATTTCTTTAACTTATTCGAGTATTTTTTTAACTTATTCCTATTTCTTAAACTTATTCAAGTATTTCTTAAACTTATTCAAGTATTTCTTAAACTTATTCAAGTATTTCTTAAACTTATTCAAGTATTTCTTAAACTTATTCAAGTATTTCTTTAACTTAGACTTTTTTCTTAAAATATAAATACGCACAAATGAAACCGCATTCAGATTGGAATTGTCAGTCAACTTTTCCAATAAAAGGTTAGGTAAAGATTTATAGTTTTTTCGGGACATTCTGTATGTTATATCCCATCCTTAGAATGCAAAGACAAAGAGAATAGAAGATATATTAGAGGGGAATTTAAAGAATCTCTCGGTATGAATTTTGTCAGTCCCTTTCAGCCTATAAGGGAGTTCAAAGTGTACAAATCATGTAAATGTTTACAAATTATATGCAGTAGAGTACATTAATACAGTATGTTCCCTATACTATCCATTTCAATTTCGAGTTTTTAAAGCTGTTAAATAAACTTTATAATGAATTAGGTGAATGAAAAGCATCATTTGATTTATAGTTATAACGGAAAATCATCGTTTGTATAGTTAAAGGCATAGAGTCTATGTGAAATGATCATTGGTCAATTATGAAACCAGCCTATTTCATAATTTGGTTTTCTTTTAATATTAATTTTAGATTTTCTATAAAATGATGTTCCAGGGCCCAAAAGGTTATTTAGCACAAATATGTGAAGTACACCTGCAGTATGGAAACAGTACAAAAAAATTGCCGTTTTACACTTTTTTCTAGTAAATTCACCGCTAATATATATTCTATTCTCTTTGTGCAAAGATTATCCCACTAAGTATCTTTTTCCAAACTTGTATCAGGGGATAATCTACTCCATAATCCTCACTTGTTAAAATCAAATCTTTTAATCTTCAAAAATGTATGACATATTACATTTATATTCATAACTTAATTGTTAATATGTATCTATTTATGTATACATATATACAGTGATAATCATAAAACTTTGGAATAGAAAGTCGACTTTTAAACTCAAGTTATGACTTAAACACTCCTGTATGCCGAGTCCATAAGCGCCTGATCCAATCAGGGTTCAGTCATGTGTTTGTTGTCTATTCTGAACCAATAGAAATAGTATGGCGGTAACATCTATCTTTCTATCTATCTCATTATCCAATTAGAGATATGAATCCTTCAATCGGCGCTATATCAGTAAGTGGAAATATTTACTTCTTCTGAAACTATAGTGTTAAATAGTCCAATAAGCATGCGGCACCGCAGTTGTGCATTGTAATCAGACCCATTTACTTAATAAGTGATTTGCTATAGTATTGCTATTTGTTTTTAGATAAATAGAATTCAGTATTGCTTTAATGTCGTCTTCCTATTCTACAGTTTTCTGGTTGTGAACTTGTGACTGTATGTATAAATTTATATTCATACTCTATTCTCTCGCTTCAGGCCTTGATCCTATCTGCCTGAATGTATTATTTTTAAGCTAAACCAAAATCTTACAGCTTTTTTGTCAAGGGTTGAAAACTATAAATTGTTTGCCCTTTTGCCTGCTGAATACACTTTGATCTAGTCTGATTGATTTTGCATACTAAGCGTGCCATGGATCGACTCTACACTGGGTAGCTAGACTGGATAGTACAACTGATTGCATGTACAGTACTTGTTGTACAGGCACAGATCATGCAGTTTTAGAGTGGTGTGAATATTAAATCTTTTTTACTACCTATGAAGAATCTTTTAAAAAATTCTAAATTTTTAGATTTTGCTATGAAATGTTTATATGTGATATCCATATGCGCTTAGCGCTTATCTTCGATTTTAACTTTAAATTGTTTCTCTTTCTGTCGCATTTTATTTTTTTTCTGGCCATCTATAAACCTTTCCTAGGCTCATGTAAAGTCCAACAAAAATTTGGGCCCGATCGATTCAGCCGATTTGTCGTTTTTTCGCGATACAAACAGATAGACAAGCAAAGTATATAAAGACAGATGCTTCTGTAAAAAATATGTTCCTAAAATTTAACACAACTGACTTCCATCAATCCTAACATTTTTGTGTAAACTAAACATGTGTGTTCTAAAAACTATTGCTGGCCTAAATATAAAAATTTGTTCAATTAATGAAATTAAAGAAAAAATTGTTTCTAGATAATTTTCATCTCTTAAAAGTTTTATGTTATAAAACAGATATTTGAAAAAAAATTTACATTTTTATTTCATAGAAATCAGAACTGTTGAATCGTTAATTGCTTTAAAAAACATTAAACCGTATCTAAGGTATCTAAGGGATTAAGTTAATTCTCTTTAGATATCACCATTCTCTAATAACTTTTCTAAAAAATCAGAATCTACGAAAATCATCTCCCAATAATTTGTCAAAATGCGAGTCACGGATTAAGCTTTTAATATCTCTCAAATCAAAGGTTTCTGTCGTGGACCATTTTAGCTAGAAACGAGAGCGTTTCATATTATAAAATTAAGATGTCGAGGGCTACTATAAAGTAGAAGAGAATTGGTTAGGTACAACTATAAGGTACAACTAGAGGCCAAAACGTTGCGACACTTTTAAGTCGAGGCTGTTTAAACATGTTACGTCTACATTTCAGAGTTGATTATATTTGTTTATATTTCAGTGCGACTTTACTTATTTGGATGCTATATCGTTTGCACTAATGTCCGATTGAACTAACGTACTTTTGCACTAAAGTCAGCTGGTCAGTAACACTTGTGGCCGTAGCGCCCGGCCCACTAGCCTGTCCTAGCTCCAGCGCTCGGCCCAGAAATTGTCTTAACCTAACCTAATACTCAAATAAAACGTTAGTCCGAATGAACGTTAGTGCGAATGTACGTTAGTCCGATGAATCATTAGTGCAAACGATACGACACCCTTATTTGGGTCGGATCATATATCTAGAGGTCGAAATTTTTGAGTCTTAATGCTTGATCCCATCATTTAATCCCTGCAGATGGAGATCAATGCTTGAATTATTAGTTTTCAAAACTATAAACATTGATATCTACTTGATCAGAGAGACCTATTCAAAGGGCACCGGTGCGAAGCAGACATTGCCTTCTTTGCATGGAGGGTCACTTTTATTTACGCCAAAAATCCCTTTAAGAGAAAACGTTCATTCTGAACTCAAAACTACAGAAACCTCTGGAGAACGACTAAGACAAATTCTAATTTCCCGGAAAGATAAAACATTATCTTTTCGTAGCTTCATATCTTTGATCCCTATCTTTGGTAAACAAATGGTTATAATTTACAGAAAGATAACAGCTTGAAAGATTAGAAAATATTAAAAGTTGCTTAACAGGGACTATCAAAACACATTAAAAGGTTCATGAGTGTAACCTGTAAAGATTTTGCAAGAACATTTTTTATAGAGATATCTTTTTTTTCTCTTCAAAAAACACATTATGGAATTTTCAATTTTCAGAAAAGAGAAGGTAAATGGACATGATTTGCCCCTGTTTCTTAAATATCTCTTTAAAATTATAAACATAATTGATACCTTTAATAAAATTGTGTTTACATTTGCAAAATTAAAATCAGTACAAAAACGCGTAGGTTTTGAAAAAAGTAATTAATTAATTAATTTCTTTGTGACTTTTTTAACCAAAGTACTTATTCTTGTGGATAAAGGTACAAATATCTAAAATAAATATCACTATCTCCGGCTTTAAAGTTGGTCGGAGCATTATTTGTATTTCGTATCTTATCACTCGTGCTTACTCGGTTTACTTGGGCTACAAAACATCAAAAAACTGAATTTTAAACACTGAAATTTTTAAATGAAAATTTTTTTGATGGGTTTTTTCCTGTGAGTTGTACTTATGTCTATAGGAAGGTTCTATATTATCTGTCCTATAAATAGGAAGAAGCATTGGTATCTGTCCTACAAATAGGAAGATGCTAGGTTATCTGTCCTATAAATAGGAAGGTTCTATGTTATCTGTCCTATAAATAGGAAGATGCTATGTTATCTGTCCTATAAATAGGAAGATGCTATGTTATCTGTCCTATAAATAGTAAGATGCTATATTATCTGTCCTATAAATATGAAGATGCTATGGTATCTGTCCTATAAATAGGAGGATGCTATATTATCTGTCCTATAAATATGAAGATGCTATGTTATCTGTCCTATAAATAGGAAGATGATATGTTATCTGTCCTATAAATAGGAAGATGCTATATTATCTGTCCTATAAATAGGAAGATGCTATGGTATCTGTCCTATAAATAGGAAGATGCTATGTTATCTGTCCTATAAATAGTAAGATGCTATATTATCTGTCCTAAAAATAGGAAGATGCTATATTATCTGTCCTATAAATAGGAAGATGCTATGGTATCTGTCCTATAAATAGTAAGATGCTATATTATCTGTCCTATAAATAGGAAGATGCTATGGTATCTGTCCTATAAATAGGAAGATGATATATTATCTGTCCTATAAATAGTAAGATGCTATATTATCTGTCCTATAAATAGGAAGATGCTATGGTATCTGTCCTATAAATAGGAAGATGATATGTTATCTGTCCTATAAATAGGAAGATGCTATATTATCTGTCCTATAAATAGGAAGATGCTATGCTATCTGTCCTATAAATAGGAAGATTATATGTTATCTGTCCTATAAATAGGAAGATTCTATATTATCTGTCCTATAAATAGGAAGATGCTATGGTATCTGTCCTATAAATAAGAAGATGCTATATTATCTGTCCTATAAATAGGAAGATGCTATGGTATCTGTCCTATAAATAGGAAGATGATATGTTATCTGTCCTATAAGTAGGATGATGCTATGTTTTCTGTTCTATTATACTAATATTATTATCATGATGAGTCGTAATTATAGGAAGATGCTATGATATCTGTCCTATGAGTTGTAGCTATAGGAAGATGCTATGTTATCTTTCCTATAAGTTGCCATTATAGGAAGATTGTATATTGTCTCTGTCCTATGAGTTATAAGTACTTTTTATATTTAAAAAAGGCGGAGAAAATATTATACTAAAACATATATCGCATTTAAAGTTGAGAAAAATATTAGTGTTTTGAAAAGTAAGCAGCAAACTAATATTTTATGTAAAGTTTATCCTTGTTTACGTTTAGTATACCAGGTTTCAAACATTTTGAAATTCAATATTTTTGTGGATTCTTGAAATAAAATATATAAGACAAAAACACGTTGAAACAAAAATACGGGAAAAATAACACGTAAATTCAAAATACTATTTATGTTAAAATATTTCAATTTTTAGGAAAAGAAACACGGCTTATAGTCTTTCTTACTTCTCATAAATGGTTCTGAGGCTTACAACGATAGAACCATTTTGAGATAGTTTGCCTACTGAATCTAAATTATTTATTTATAACACTACTAGCCAGCGTGCAAAAAAAAAATTGCATATGTCACCCCTAGGGTATTTCGGTCCTGCCGTTATATATATATATATATATATATATATATATATATATATATATATATAGGGTGTCCCAAAAAACATGGTAATTCAGTGACGAATCTGATATCGTCTTTGTTATGAATTAACATTGTAATACCTAATTTCAAAAGCCATAATATTATTATGTCTGCTAGAATTTATTTTATGAAAAGGGTAAAAGACTGCAAAGATGTGTCTAAAATGTCTCCGCAAGATGAACAGTGAAGACGGACAAGTTTACTCTGTTTGTATACTTTCATTTTCTTGTTTTACTAAGTACAACCGTATGTAGTCAAAACATAAACAAACAAAATGTGAACATAGCAGACGAAACTCTTACAGATTACAGCTTTCTCAGTAGGTATCACTATACTAAATCAAAGAATTATTTAAAAGACGATATCGAATTCGTCACTTAATTCCCATGTTTATTGAGACACCCTGTATATAGAACCGATCAGAGCTTCATTATATGGATTATTTTGTTTCGTAGGTCTATAAAGTCTAAAAGCGTTAAACTACTTTACATTTAATATTATATTTAATGTTATATGTAATTTTATGAAGGGATGTTCATGACAGTAGCAAGACGATTTTGAAGGTCGTCTTAAACACCTTTGAAATAATTTGGGGCATATTTTCGTAATTTTTTTTTCAGACGTAAAATTGTAGAAATAAGAATAAAAAAATACCCCTTGTCCTAGTATCTGAATATTACCGGAGATATGATGAATTTTCTTCAGATTTCGACAATTTTGATTTATTTAATAAAAGTTAAATCTAAACGAAATATTTAATATCTCCGGTAATATTGAAAGCACAAAAAACCACAATATGGAAACGGCAGGGTTAGGCAAAGATTGTGTTTTTAAGAATCATAAATGTGAAAGTAGGTTGACGACTAAATGTCAAAAATAAATTCAAAATTGAAAATCCATTTTCAATTCGTCTTGCAACTGTTCTGTTTTGTTGGACGAGGGAGGGAACCCCTAGACGCCATGAGCCTCCGCTATGCAAACACAAGCCTCCCAGATTTGCTAGGCAGACTGAGCCTCAGCTATGCAGCAATGGGCATGCGCAATGCATCAAAAGTGCCTGTGTACTACAGAAGGTTTTTTGGACTTGTGTTTTAAGTTTAAATAACAGATGTTCTTACAAATTTCTCGACTTATTGGCCTTACAGGTTTCTCAAAGATGAAAAGTGCCTAATTATGACTTATAAATCTTTGATTTAAGCGATATCTTTTTTTGTAGTTCAAATTAAATCTAGAAAATTTGCATCATATCTTTAAATCTTAACATTTTTCAAAAAAGGTATTGTTTAAATCAAAGATTACAACAAAACAAACCAAGTTTACTCCAGAAATATTTCTCCAAATATCTTCCTTTCTGCGTAAGAAATGTTTAAAGTTTTATGGCTGATTTCAATTTTATTATTATTTTAAGCTTTAATTATTTCTACAAATATAATATCCCATTTTTAGGGAGTTTTTAGGATGGACATTCTAAGTTTCAGTGTTTTTAGGGAGGAAATTTTTCGATTTGACGTTTTAAATTGGAAATTTTATGGCGGAAATCGTCAAAGATAGACAGTAAAGTAAAACGGTTATCAATAAAGTTGGTTGAGATTATTGATTAAAGCAAAAAACTTTTCGAAAATAAAAAAATATTTGAAAAAAACACTTTTATTAAATAGTTGACTTACTTGTTGCGCTTTTCATTTTCGTATTCTCGTATTTTTATCTCCAGCCAATTACATTTGGGTAACTCCTAAAATGTTAAAAAAAATATTAATTTTATTCAAACAGAGAAACTTTTATTTACTTAGCCATTCGCTAATTCTCTTAATGTTTATTTAAGTTTCCCCCTTGCTAAATTATTAAATTCTATGAATATTGAATTTGGTATGATTATTAAATAATAAGATTAATAATTAAATGAGTTTGTTTAAGTGCGCTCTGTCCCAGGGTAAAATTAAACGTTAAAGGGATGGTGCCTGTAATAAAAGTGACATTCTATTTATAAAGTAGAATTTCTGTAAACAAATTTATAATAAAGAATGAGATATTTGTTATTTTTTTAAATGGAATATTATCATTTCTTCCACTTAATGAAATATTAAAAACGTCTCAGATCAAAAATTATTTTTTTTATTTTTTTTTTTTACTTCGGGATAAAACAGCAGCCTAAAGTTTTGTACAACACAAATTTGGAGCTTATAAAACGGTATCATTTATTACAAAAAAATCAAATTTATCAAAAATTAAATATTTTTTTGATTTTTTTTAGCATTATGTAAATATTTATTTCGAAAAGTGTTTAGATTAATTTCAGAATAAGAAAAAAGATGTAAATCTGATTAGGGAAAAAACGATATATAAAGTTTAACATAATGTTTATTCTGTCAAAAATATCAACGTACATGATATAATATGCATAGCATTATTAAATTTATATAAACTTTATTGAGAAAAATATAGGAACGAATTTTTGCAGGGAAAACTGGGATGAAAAAATGATTAACTTACACAAATTTAAAATTCATGCTTTTTTATTTACACGGATCTTGGGGGGAGTGTATTCTAGCCGGAGTGCTGCGTTATTGTCAAGCAATAGACAAATGATGGGCACTGATGGACATGACATTTACACAGATCGATCCAACTAAAGTGAAGAAAGGACAGCGCTAGTAAGCAGGAAACGTTAAGAAGGAGAATATTAGAGAGAATTGTTTACGGAGCTAGTGAACACAGAGAACAAAAAACAAGAAAGGACAGAAGAGACGGAAGAGACAGAGAAAAGCAAAATCAATTCTGAAAAGGAAAAACTCCTCATTTTATTTCTTTTTAGTTTTGATGACTGACTGAGAAAAGGACAAAAGAACATAACTAAATTATGTTTTAAAATGCAGCTTTCTACAAGTCATCAGCAAATCAACGCTACAGAGATTAACAAAAACGATTATCATTAACCAACCCTAATAGTTAAGCCTAATGAAAAACAGGAAGCAAGATCAGCCCGCGTAAAATAAGAATGGTAGATAGGGTTACCCATGGTCAAGTTTTTAAGACGTTGGGGTACATGACTTTTAGTCGATCTTGAGCAAAACAAAATAATAGAAAGACCTTGATAATAAACTGGAAATATGTTTACTAATATATCGTTTTATTGTATGCGTGAGCTTGTGCCCACACCCCTTTACCAAAATAAATGATTAAAGGGAATGGCCGGCTATGTAAGGTAGTTGAACTGAGTATGCAGTGTTGTGGAAAACTTCTTTCGGATTCATTTGAGATTTAACAAATTAATCCGAAAGAAGTTTTCCACAACACTGCATACTCAGTTCAACTACCATACAAAGCCGGTCAGTCCCTTTAAAGTTAAAAGTTCCTTCAAGCTAAATTTAATGTCGTGAGGCCGGACCTTCTGTTTACATAGACTTAACTCAATGTTCAGAGGATAAGGTAAAAAATCCGGGATATTTACCCATTACTGCATGCAGCACTGTCCGGCTCATCAGACTCTAGACTAGGGAGGAGTGAATTTCCGAAAATAAAACAATTTGCTTGAAATCATTACGGCGAAAGTCAATTTTTATGTAAAAAACAATTCTAAGAACAATTTCGTTTATGATACTTTTTGATTAGAGGTCATCTTCGCTAGCTAACTGGCACTGCAAGTTTTGACCTTTTTGTATTTTTCTGAGATCTGTGACACAAGTAAAATGCTACCAAATATTATGACGATAGTCCATTTCTGTGCCAAAATCAATTCTAAGAATAAATTCTTTTCTGACAGTTTTTGAGTTGAGGTCGTCTTCGTTAGCTAACGGGCACTGCAAGTTTTGACCTATAAACACCTTTTTTTCTGAAATCTGTTATTTCGCAATACGCATGCAATATGTTTTAAATTATTACGACGATAGTTCTCTGATGAAATTTTTAAATTCACTCCCCCCTACTCTAGACTCTAAAGAAGGGCGCGTATGGCGTTTTTTTTTGCTTGTTTATCGTTTGTGAACGCCCATTTAGTTAGTTTTGTTCAATCGTTCAAAAAAAACTGTTTTCGTTTGTTCTTAAAAATATCGCTTATTTTCCATCTATTTTGTTTGTTCGTTCGAAGTCAAATCGTTTGTTCAGTAAAATTGATAATATTTTAATTAATTGTTATAGTTTTTCTACTAATATTGCTTGACAATGAGGTTTTCTAAAATGAAAAACTGTTCAAGCTCGAAAAACAGGATTTTGATTATTATTATTTATCAGAAAGGTATAAATTGATTCACTTGAAATTGAAACGAAGCTCACTTTCATATTTATTTGTACATCGAGATTTTTTTTTAATTGATATTCATAATTATACGTACTCTATCTAATTGATATTCCCACGCTCTTTTAATTTCTAATTGATGCAACCTTTACTTTAAAAAGTGTAAAAGCTTTTAAGGGAGTTTTTTTTTCATCACTTGCTCTAAGAGCAATCCAGTTAAAGGGTCTGTAAGAGAATTTTAAGCGGCCGTTCGTGAAATGATGACAATGCCCGATTTACGATGGTACCCTTAAATCATTTATCTGATCAAAAATGTGGAAAACATCGTTGTTAACCCGACTCGAAATGTGTTAAATTCTGATAATTTATTCATTGCTTCTTTTAAAGCAAGAAATACGCAATTTACTTTTGCAGAAAAACCGCAAATAAATATAAACAGTTTCAAATTCATACTTGGACAGACCGATGTAAATCGGGCATTGTCATTTCTTTGCGTGGAGGGTCACATGAAATTTCGTTTACAATCTCTTTAAGTGATATTTATAATTATACGTACTTTGGCTAATTGATAATCCTACGCTCATCAAATTTCTAATTGATGTGACCTATACTATAAAAAGCTTGAAAGCTTTTTTGAGTATTTTTTTAACATTCATTATTCGCTAAAAGATAAAGAAGAATGATTTACTGCTCTCTAAAGAGAAAACGACTGATATCATAACTAAATGATCGTTTCACGCAAAACTCAAACATTTTTTTGCCATTTAATCTGAAGCTTCACTTGATCTCAGTCAGACGATAATCTTAACAAAGCGGTTCAGTAGTCTATAGCCGTTTAACAAGCTAACTATCGCTAGCTGGCTTAACGACTAGATTAAATTTGCTAACATAAGCTATTTTCTTTAAAACTAAATTTTTTTCAAAATTAAATCTTTTTCACTTCGATTTTTTTGAAATTTCGCGGGCTACGCCAAGCATCTCAGCTTGTAATGAATAAATAAATAAAAACACAAAATGAAATATTTTTAGACTCGAACCTGAGCAATCCTATGATTAGTATCCTGATCCCGTCCTTGTCCATTCAGGATCTTCTGCCTCTTCTCCTAGACAGAAAGATAGATAGATAGATAGATAGATAGATAGATAGATAGATAGATAGATAGATAGATAGATAGATAGATAGATAGATAGATAGATAGATAGATAGAGAGATAGATAGATAGATAGATAGATAGATAGAGAGATAGATAGATAGATAGATAGATAGAGAGATAGACAAAAAGATAGATATATAGATAGTAGATAGATGGATAGATAACAGATAGATATATAGATAGATATATAGATAGATAGATAAATAGATAGATAGAAAGATAGATAATAAATAGATAGATAGATAACAGATAAATAGATAGATAGATAGATAGATAGATATTTAGATAGAAAGATAGATATTTAGATAATAGGTAGATAGATAGATATATAGATAGAAAGGTAGATAAATAGATAGATAGATAAACAAATAGATAGATAGATAGATAGATCAACATATGTAGATAACAGATAGATAGATATATAGATAGATATATAGATAATAGATAGATAGATAGATATAAAGTTAGATAGATAGATAGATAGATATATTGTGCAGAAAAAAATCTTTTACCTCCAAGTGCCTTTTCATTTTCTTTTTCCTTTTTCTTTCTATTTCCTGGGAAACTTATTTTTCTTTAAACAATCAGAGAAAAGAAATTTTTTCATATTGTTAGCGACAGCAGCGCTTCAATCGATTCATTTATTTATTAATTTATTGATTGATTGAAAATAATTTCCTGTGTATGCGCAGTGGGTGGGACCGTCATCTTATTAATCACATATCTGCCCTCATTCTTGAAAATAATAATAATAATAATAATAATAATATTAATAATAATAATAATTATAATGATAATAATAATGACAAAATGATAAGAAATTTTGACAATATAAGACTCACCGTATTTTTTTTACTCTATTGCACTATCTAGTTTTGACTGTTCAGTCTCCTCTGAAAAAATCAAATTTCAAAATCATCATTTCATTTTTGTCTTTCCCTACTCTACATTCTGATTTGGATTTTTGCAAAATAAGAATTTATAACTTTACGGGAAAATGTTATGACTTTTAAATTTTTATCATAAAAGATTAAATATTTCAAAAGTTGGTTACCATTGTAATAAATATCGAAGTTAACCCCATATTTATTAAACCTGAACACACTTAGATATATTACATTGTATATTAACCTTACTACGCTTGTAAATATTTACGTAAATCTGCATTGTGATTAATCTGACTACACTTGTAAATAACGACGTGAAACTTTTAATTACCATCATTAATTTAACCTGTATTATAAAACTCAAAATATATATTAGTTGGAATAAAACTCTGTTTGATAACAGAATCAGAGTAATTGTTCCTCATGTAGCAAACGAGAGGGGACCTGAGTTACATCTTGAAAGATATATATAGACTAGGAATTACAGTGAGTTGTGGCTTTTTAGACAAGTACCTGAGAATACATATAGCGTCATATCCAGATTGATATAGACTGAAGTATTATTGAGGAACCTTGAGTTCGAAATTGAGGTGTATGTGTAAGATACACATAAAGGAATACAAATAAAGTCGTATCCAGATTGATACAGACTGAAGTATTATTGAGAAACCTTGAGTTTGAGATTGAGGTGTATCTGGATTGATAGAGACTGACGTATTATTGAGGAACCTTGAGTTCGAAATTGAGGTGTATGTGTAAGATACACATAAAGGAATACAAAAAAAGTCGTATCCAGATTGATACAGACTGAAGTATTATTGAGAAACCTTGAGTTTGAAATTGAGGTGTATTTGTACGATACACATAGAGGAATACATAAAGAGTTGTATCTGGATTGATACAGACTGAAGTATTATTGAGGAACCTTGAGTTCGAGATTGAGGTGTATGTGTAAGATACACATAAAGGATACCTGGATTTCAAGATATAGGCATTGGAATAGTTAATTTTGTGGCAAAGACTGTGTTCCTTTACAGTTTAATTTATGAATGTCGAATTCAGATAAATAAACTTGATTTCATTAACAGAAAAAATGATGAAGATAGTCCTGTTGTTTTTATGTTAATATGTTAATAAAGATAAGATAAGATATATATATGATAGTTAAAATATTTTTTGAGATAAGTTGGGTTAAGATATATATAGTTAAGATCATTGTTTTTAGATAAGATAGACAGTTATAGTTTTTTTCTTGGATCATTGTTTAGATAAGATAGATACTGAAAGTTTTATGGTTTTAGATCATTGTATAGATAAGATGAAATAAGATAGTAATAGTTTTTATGTTAAGATCATTGTTAAGATAAGGTGAAATAAGATAGTAATAGTTTTTTTATGTTAAGATCATTGTTAAGATAAGGTGAAATAAGATAGTAATTTTTATGTTAAGATCATTGTTAAGATAAGGTGAAATAAGATAGTAATAAGAAAGGAAAAGTTTTTATGTTAAGATCATTGTTTAGATAAGGGGAAATAAGAAAGGAATAGTTTTTATGTTAAGATCATTGTTTAGATAAGAGGAAATAAGAAAGGAATAGTTTTTATGTTAAGATCATTGTTTAGATAAGATAAGATAACATAAGACATCTTCCTTTTCGTTACTCAGATAAAGGTATAACAGGTCCTGTTGTACACCGAACATGTACATTTTACTTTCTAAATATATCGAACTAATCACACTTGAAATTTCTCTAACAGTCCCTTTATGATAAAACACACTTTTGGCAACGTGAAAGACCAGCTACTGGTTGCAAAATTAGATACTTTGAATCTTTATTAAAATACAGGTGCTACCCCCTAATATAATTTTATAAACAATGATAAACATTAATATATTCATTGATGTATGTAAACCTAATTACAATTGATCACCGTCCATATTTGAAATATATTATTTATTATAATGTTTTTCATAAATAAAACATGGCGATCTATCGTTTTTTTCATGGTTTGACATTTCTGGTATGATATTTAAATGTGAGCATGCATGATAAATAAATGTCCAGTTTTCAGATTAAAAACCTTGACAGATAATTTTAGTTTAGACCTTTGTACTCATATATAATGCAGTCTGAGCTGGAAACATATAGATGGATACCTTAATCTCTAGCTATCGCTTAATCTGATGTACTCATATATAATGCAGGTCTGAGCTGGAAACATATAGATGGATACCTTAATCTCTAGCTATCGCTTAATCTGATGTACTCATATATAATGCAGTCTGAGCTGGAAACATATAGATGGATACCTTAATCTCTAGCTATCGCTTAATCTGATGTACTCATATATAATGCAGGTCTGCGCTGGAAACATATAGATGGATACCTTAATATCTAGCTATTTCTTAATCTGATTCTGTCCAATAAGAGTTCTCTCATCAAATGGCGCGCATAATTTCCCGGCTAATGATTGGCTGCTGGAAATTCTGCATAAGCCACTGTATTATTATGTTATTCATCTTGAGGTTGATAAAAAGAAGGGATCAAACATTGATCCCAATATCCGAAATTCTAAAGTTTAATATTTTGCTGCCTTGTATGTAACCTTATGATGAAATAATAAATGAAAATAAAGAAAGAAATTGAAGCTAGGGAATTGAAACAGTAATGTCCTATTTGAAGGCTCATTCTTTTAGTAGGGCTGGGCAAAGGAACTTAACGAAACGGAGGTTTTCGAAAATTAGCGGAAGAGTCCGTAACGAACGGGAAATCCCGTTAATTTTTAAATCATTAATGTCGAAACTGATCAGCCGTTTTTGAAAAAATTATTAATGGCTGTGCTGTTAACGATTTTTTTAACCGTTAACGTTAATTTTGTAATAACGGTACAATTAACGGCTAGAGCAGTTAAAGATTGTTGAAAATTTTCCGTTAACACAGTTAATAAAAAAGAGATCGTTAACTAACGGTAATTTAAAAAAAAAAAATGCCGGTAACGGAACGAACGTTCTGACCTCACCATTAAAACTAACGGCTAACTAATTTTTTTTAACGCTTGTAACTAACCGTTAACGAAACGGCTAGAAAGAATGGAACGTGCCCAGCCCTTATTCAGTATCTCTGAAAATTTGTAATATCAATTTGACGTAGTGTAAGGAAGGCAATGGTTAGAATAAACAATTAAAAACATTTAAATTTTCTTTCATTAATGCAAATTTGAAAATTATAGGCAAAATAACTATATCAAAACGAGAAATTCAACATTTCTTGCATCTCTCTCATGAAAATTGCCTATGGCTACAAACGCCCTATTATACCTTCGCGATCTGATCTTCTCATCATCTTCTCATTAAACTAAAACGAATGCTCTAGTTTTTGTATTAAAAAAGATGAACACTTGCGTAGAATTGACAGAATATGCGTCATGTAATTTCATATTGTTTGTTTATATTTGCGTACGAATTGTGTAAGATCTGTAAACTGTCAATTTGCTGTCAAATTAATGGTTGTGGTTTGTTCGTGATTCAACCTTTAAATTTTTTATCACTATATTTTTGCAACCTGAGGGTGTAAACTTTTCAAATTTTAGGTTTACACCAAGAATTCATATTGTATATTGTATAACATCAATGGTTTACGACATTAGGTTGCAAAGATAAACTTATAAACTCAGAACGTTTTTTTGTAGCTGATTCGAAAATTAATAGAAATATTATTCTTTACTGTAAAAATCCGAATATCATCATCAGTTCTGGAACAGATTGTTTTTCTTCAATTTTTAAATAGTTGACAATATATCCATAAAATCTTAAAGTGACCAAAACCCCGTTTTTTTCAATTGAAAACACAATAATTATTTCTACGGAAATTGTCAAATCAAAATGATTGTGAGTGGTAAGAATGTCTTAGTTGAAATAAGTCGAATCGTTACATGGACCAAGCCAATACAAGGATTTACGAATAAAGAGTATTTATATAATGTACCTCATACCAACCCGTTTCTAATTTTTAAAATATTGGGTGGTGTGTGCATTCATAAAAAAGGAAAACAATCAAACAGGTTAAAATGTTAAATTGAAGAAAAAGTTTAAAGACGACATTTATTTTGACAATATAGTGTACACTGTACAGAATACGGGTTCAACCCGAAGATTGAAATGCCGGAAAAATTTCAGTCTTTAGAGATTCGAGGATTTACTTATTCTACTCACAGTCACACATGTCAGACCAGGTCATCGTATAATTCTACGTTTTAACTTAGCACTCCCCTCCCTCCTATATAATATATATAAATGGTGCCTCCCCTCATTAAATCTCTATCCCTCCACCCTTCCCCCTCCTTCCTCCCCTCCTCTCTTCCTCCTCTCTTCCCTCCTCTCTTCCCTCCCTCTCTTCACTTTCTGTTTTCTAAAAAGTGTTCAAAATAATAATGTTCACTCTATTCTAAAATCAAATTTTTAATCTACATTATGATTAAAAAGATGGTTCAGAAACCAATTTATGAATAGTGTCTTATTTTTAAAAAAAAGTAGTTAAGGCTCCGCCCCCCCCCCCCCTGTTCAAAACAGGGGTGCTAAAAATGAAGCTGTGTGTGAAAACTTATCATGAATTAATTCTCGTAAATTGTGTGTATACTTCTATTGATATCTTTCAATTTTATGTACTTTTGATAACCAAATATAATTTTATAAACAATGATAAACATTAATATCTTTTAAATTAAAAAAATCTGACGTATGGAAATGATCTTAAATCGTTAATTTAAAAAAATCAATTCGTTGATTTGGGGCTTTTTTCACTTCTATAATAAAAAGAAGAATAATAAGTCACAACATTAAATATTCACTTCACACAATGGAATATTATAATTTATCTAAATAAAAAATGGTAAAGCTTTTTTTTCAATATTTTACCTAAGAAATATTTGATGTGGAATTAAAAGGAAAAAGATATCTTCCAATTCTGTAGAGATACATCACTAGTTAATGATTAAAATGCACTGTGTAATTACTCTATTAGTCTATTACTCTATTAGCTCTTCCCACCGAGGCTTTTAATCTACTGAACGTATATTGAAGCGGAGCCGACGTAAATTTCGTAAAATACATAAATGCGGGAAAATTGATTAGGAGTGTTCATAGTGTACACTTTAAATACTAAACATACGTGTCAAAGAATCCGTGAAATAGTTTCTTTTAGAATATGAAATGGATCGATATTAGCGTTATTATCATAATTTAGAATTTGTTTTGTTGAAGATTAACACTTATTAAAAAGCATAAATTGGCTTCAATTCAAAATGTTATTTAATTAATTTTTTGAAATTCGATCCGTACACAATAAACAGCATAGTAATCAGAAATAGAACCTGTGATTAGGGTTTTACATTAAAACATGCTATAAACCTCATATTACATCTTCAACATGGGAGCCTCTAAAAAATAGTAAGATTAATTATTGATTACAGGATCGGTCAGATTAAAAAAAAATAATAAAAGTGATATTACAGTATTAATAGTAAACAGAATACTATTTAATAACTTGATTAGTTTTATTTATTGTGTTTCTGCAGAATCTATAATTAAGAGTCACATGCAGATAATTGATTCTTTAAAAAAGGAGAGAAACTTTGATTAAAAAGCAATAAAAATAACTGGTTACAATTTATATAGCTTTTTGAAGTCTTTCTTTAATTATAATTATGTTATGATTAATTATAAATTTATTAATATTAAGATTTATTTTGAAAGTAAAAAAACATAATAATTGATTTTGTTAACATATATTTTTCCCACTTAACTTTAATTGATCAGCGTCATATTACATTTTCTTGAATTCGGATTATTAATTTCCCGGATTTTTCAACAATAATTTTCCGGAATTTGGCCTTTTCTTTGGGAATTTTAAGTTTAAACATGAAATTAAGAAAATTGCATTAAAATTGTGTTCATCAGTTTTCTGATATTTATATATCAATGTTTTAAAACTTAAGATTTTTCGTATCTATAAATCTTCATGGGTTTTTAAAAAATGCAAACTGTTTTCTATTTACAGATTTTTTGTTCATGCTTTTTGATAAAAATATTTGCTTCTACGGTCCAATAAACTTCATTTCATTTGGTTTCGAGTCGTTTTCAGGAATTGTTATTTCAAGTAAAACATAAAAATATGTCAAACGTGTTTTTTTGATTTGGTTTGGCTTTTTTATCCCAAAGGTACTTGTATTTTTCAAACTGTAACTGTAATTTCAAGTGAGCCCCACCCCCTTGAAGAGATAGCTGTGACCAATTCACAATTGTTACCCTTAAATCCTTTTTCTGATCAAGAATGTAGAAGATATTGTTGTTTTTCGAGGTTTAACAGTAATGCGCAAGTCATGTTTGATGAGAAACCACATGCTAAAAAAAATAAGGTTTAACTTTTTAAAACATTGATATCTAATTCATGCTTGATGGGACAAAGCTTTTAAGGGTACTGTCAATTTTCTCTTAGCATGGAGGGTCACTTGAAATTATACGCCACTTACAGTCCCTTAAATTCCCATTGGACGCCCCTGTATCACTAATACATAATTCCCATTGGACGCCCCTGTAACACTAATACATAATTCCCATGGGAGTGGGACGCCCCTGTATCACTAATACATAATTCCCATGGGACGCCCCTGCATCACTAATACATAATTCCCATGGGACGCCTCTGTATCACTAATACATAATTCCCATGGGACGCCCCTGCATCACTAATACATTTTTAAAATTTCATTTAACTAACTTTAGTTTACAAAAGTTGTTCCTTCACTATTTATTCTATCATTTACAATTCCTTATCTCCAGAAAAATTTGCGTTATCAAAAGGTTATATGCTGATAACAATTCGTTAGTAAATATGTACGGAGAGTTAAAACGCACTGGTACAGATCATTTCTGTACATTTTCGAGATAGTACACAGGTTGCAAACAGTACATCAATTTGATTGCTGTCAGGTGTTCTTAGACAAGTAGTTTTACCAATGGATTAACCTTTTTCAGTTAAATTGTAAAGTGTAACTTTAGCTAAAACCGGAACATGTGTTAGTTAAAACCGTTAAAAACCAAATTGTCAGGTAACTGTTCGTTCGGTATTTTACGTTTTTAAAAGCTCTCGTTAGTTAACTATCTTAATACTATAACCAGCGTTAACGGCATATATTTTGGATATCGTTAACGGTTCCGGTCGTTAACTTGTCAGAATAGAAACGATTATTTTTTGTCAAATATCTGGACAACATTCAAAAACTTCAAAACATGTAAAACAAAAAAAATAAACATGCATAAAATTCTATAATTCAACAAAAAACAAGGAAAAATCAGATGAGATTGTTGAAAACGACAAAATACATAAAAAAACGTATTTTCACCAATTTTTTTGCAATTTTAATGAGAAAAAAGTCGCCATTTTTAAAAAATACAATCGGTTTCGTTTCTGTCTTCAACTGTAAATTTTTTTAACGGATATTTCCGTTAGTAAACGATCTACAAACTAACTGTTTTTGCCGTTCCTTAACAGACTCTTCCGTTCATTTTCTAAAACCTCCGATTTGATTGGACTACTTAAAAAGTGTTATGACTAATTTGTTTGAAGCAAAGGACTGATTGATATATTGAACCCGGCCTGTAGGTTCTATACTTAGCTTGATAAGAATTTATTGTTCCTTAGAACTCCTCTCTGCAGCCTAGGGCTGGGCAGTGGGCATGTTCTCAATATTTACAAGCCACGGTTACTTAACAAAGATATTTAGAAATTGATTAGGGTGACGATAATATCATGTGAAAATGGCTCGACAAAAATTAAAACATCATTCAAAAATATTTAAAAATATTTTTAAAAACAACAAAATACCTTACAAAAAAAGTTTTATGCAAGAAGAAAATTTGTTTAATCCATCCGTCCGTTCTTTTTTAAGCCATTAATGTTTTTTTTTCAAGCACGGCCATTGTTGTTCATTGATGATTTTAAAATTAACGGGTTTGCCGTTCGTTAACAGACTCTTCATTTAATTTCTAAAAACTTCTGCTTCGTTAACCGAACTATGCCCAGCCCTGAACACATGGATTCTAAAAATGGAGGAGATAAGATTAAGTTAGAAAAAATATGACCACCTTTGATCGGTCCCCCTTTTGCCTTCTGGAGACCGAATGTAAGAACTTTATGTAATTATAAACTTTGCCTGGCAGCTTGATTTCGCTACAAAAGTCAACCCACTTAACTAAGAATCTTTATTCCGTTGTTCTCTTTAGTTTTCCAATCAAAACAAGTGACAAGTCAGCCAAGGGGTTCATTAGTTAAGATCGGACATAGAATTACAAACAAACATATAACAGACTTACGAACTTTTCAACTTTACAATTAGATAATGTATCTCTTCCGGGGGCTTTTGGGAAGACTTTCCCCAACACCCGTCACTGTTAATTCCGGTTCAGTTCAAGACCCGGGCCGACATCTATTCAGCAAGAGTGAGCTAGCTAGCTGTACAGATTATACCAGGCAAAACGGGACGGGACGCCAAATTAGGGAAATTCTAGTGTAGTATAAAGTATATGAATATAGGGAGTGGGCAACCAGACTTCCCCGGGCCCCCTCCTTCACCCATTGAAATGAGGGAAGAAGGGGGGCCCTGGTTACTTTTCAAATCCTTGAATCACTGTAGGAAAAAGAAGACGACTTTTAGACTCAAATTATTATTAAGAATAGTCCAGTGAACATGAAACACATAAACTGTGCTTAAATTTTTTCTTTTTACAACATCAAACACATATGATATTGCTAAGACGTCGTCTTCCTATTCCACAGTTTTATGGTGACCCCTGTACCACCTCGCTCTACGACAACGCTAAACTATTACATAAGAGTTAAAAATTGCTCCATTCAATTTTTAAATTTTGTTAATTAAACTCAGTTTGTAATGTGTGTTCAATGTTTAATCATGCAATGTCTGATAATTCTGACCCTAATCAAAGTTCGATAATTATTAATGACCATATTGCTCAAATTATGTTTATTTAAACGGACTGTTCGCGAATTAAAGAAAAAAATCAATTAAGAAGTTTTTTATTCGTCTTGTTGTGGTAAATACAGAGAAACCGGACACTGGCCCTATTTATAGCAATTATTTTAATTTTAATTTTTTAAAGGAATTTCTAATTCGTATTGAACTATTTGGACATTTTTAAGATATATCTCTTGCGACCATTGCAAATTACAAAAATGTTGGCTATATTTCTATAGAAATAAACTAAGACGACATTTCCGGTAATTTGTAATTTTTTTAACTTTGATATTATTGGATACCGGGATACCCACAAAGGATGATACTGCAAAGAAGACCTGGAGGCTGACACTCTTTAAAGAAGCAAACAGTATACATTTTTTACAATCGTCTCTAAACAGTATACATTTTGTATAATCGTCTCTAAACAGTATACATTTTGTACAATCGTCTCTAAACAGTATACATTTTGTACAATCGTCTCTAAACAGTATACATTTTGTACAATCGTCTCTAAACAGTATACATTTTGTACAATCGTCTCTAAACAGTATACATTTTGTACAATCGTCTCTAAACAGTATACATTTTGTACAATCGTCTCTAAACAGTATACATTTTGTACAATCGTCTCTAAACAGTATACATTTTGTACAATCGTCTCTAAACAGTATACATTTTGTACAATCGTCTCTAAACAGTATACATTTTGTACAATCGTCTCTAAACAGTATACATTTTGTACAATCGTCTCTAAACAGTATACATTTTGTACAATCGTCTCTAAACAGTATACATTTTGTACAATCGTCTCTAAACAGTATACATTTTGTACAATCGTCTCTAAACAGTATACATTTTGTACAATCGTCTCTAAACAGTATACATTTTGTACAATCGTCTCTAAACAGTATACATTTTGTACAATCGTCTCTAAACAGTATACATTTTGTACAATCGTCTCTAAACAGTATACATTTTGTANCCCCCCCATATAAAACCCCTATTTTGAGAAAAGCATTAATTAGTTTTTTTATTTATTAAAGAACCTTATCTAATATCTTTCATGCTTAGGCTTTGTTAATGGTTAAGGACATGTATTTGTTGATTAACTGCCAGAGGTGCAGGAAACTTTTTGCCACAAACTCAATTTTTTTCCCTTATATCTGTCCAACCCGATGCCGTTCATCTTAGATGTTTCAAACTATGAATTCTGTTAAACCATATATAAGCATCAGCTTTTAAATTTGATTCTGAAGCAAAAACTAATTTCATTTCTTGAAAAATTTTTCCCCCTTTTTAAAAATAACTTTTTAAAAAGTATAAATCTCTGTTTGTTTGTTTGTATGTCCGATCATAACTCAGGAACCCCTTGAGTGATTTATCTTAAATTTTGATGAACTCATTCGTCCAAATCGTTCGTTTATTCGATAAAATCGATCGTTTATTCGATAAAATCGTTCGTTTATTCGATCAAATTGCTCGTTTATTCGATCAAAATGCT